GCAGAAACACTAACATACATCCACTCACACACTCACTTTCAGACCAGAGACAGACTGATTCACAGCACAGCGCTTAAACACACACACACACACACACACACACACACACACACACACAGTGCAGAAATTGGAAGCACCTGACAAAATTATATTTAAAAAACTATTTAATTTGGCAGCAAATGTTTATTTGCTCAGAAAAAAACTAATAGAATAAATAAATGTTTGTAATAAGAAGCAGATTCAGCCTTACATTCCTACTTCAGATTCATGCGTATGTGTGTATCTGTTTAAGCATTTTTTCATATTTGCTGTAGTTGTACCAATAATAGCCACTTTTCCAGTGTTTAATATTCCCACTATATCTCGTTCAGACATAAAGGACACTATATCACACTCGTCCATCAGTTTTCAGATTTATTCCTTTAATCAGTAAGTTTCACAACTGAACGGAGAGAAGCACATAACGTCAGACTGCTTTGGTTTAGGGCCTGTAATCTCCTCCCACTCTGATCGGGCCCTGCATGGACTGACTATGTAATGAATTATTACTGTTATTACCTATAAAGTATCTATAACACACAGCAGTTTAGGCTTGATACCCTGCAGGTTATAAACCACGTCACTCACATGCAGCTTCACATACGTTAGTGGAAGTTTTTAGGCGTTTTTATCACGTATCCATGCTGTTTCTGTGAAATGAGTAATACAGGCAGATTCAAGGCTTCAGCAGCGTCAGAACTCAAACAGTGATCAGCACCGCAGCAGAAGGAGAGCTCTCCCAAATACGGATTTAAAACAAACAAACAGAAAAAAGCTACATTTCCTTTTCCAATAAAACTTTATAAAAGCTATGAACTCAAAATGTGGTCTCCTGCGGCGATACGACAAGCAAACACACTGAAAAAAATAGTTTCTGATCTGAACTGATTCAAATGTGTAATCAGCTCCACATGAATATAACAGCACACTAGTTTGAAAAGGTTAGTCAGTTGAAATCATAAATGTGTTTATGTAATATATACTATCTGTTCATGTGGAACTGATGCACACATTTGGTTTCTGAAAGCTTAAATGAATGCAATACCTAATACAACCACTATTGAGCTCTGGCGCTAAAATCCATCAGGCAGCAGAGTAAACATGAAAGTGTTTATAAGCAAGAGGGTCAGTGTATGTATCAGTATGACGGCTCTAACAGGCTAAATTCGGTGTTGACCACGCCCACTTTAGCATCTTAGGTCAGTTTTATGGCCAGTTTAGCGTCTGAGGTTACTTTGCACTTGCAATTATGACCTTTTCCCACTAAGAGACCATTTATGTCCAAATTCCAAACAACTAAAATATTCACATTCTCAGAAAAACAAAGTATCTTTTTAAAATAGTGCAATTCTCCTTAAAACAATTGCTCTGTGAAACAAAAATATCAAAAGCAAAAAAAAAAATAGTGTGATTGCAGTGTGTTCATAAGAACAAATAAAATCTCAGATTTTGATTCCTTTGTGCAAAAAGCAAGATCATCCGGCAAAACTCCACCAGGCGGGTCACAGCGGTCAGCTCCACTCGGCCTGTGGGGGAGCGTCAGGACGTCTTTACTGTCTGAAGTAGCAGACCTTCTCCATGGCCGCCATGATCCTAAAACAAGAGAGGATGAGTTAAAATACAGCAGGAGAGGAGAGGAAAGAAGAGAATAGAGGCGAGGAGAGGAGAGGAGAGGAGAGAAGAGAATAGAGGAGAGGAGAGGAGAGAAGAAGTAAGGAGGGGAGAGGAGAAGAGAGAAGAGAAATGAGGTGATGAGAAGAAGATAAAAGAAGGGAAGAGGAGAGGAGAAGAGAAGAGGTGAGGGGAGAGGAGGAGAGCAGAGATGAGAAAAGAAGGGAAGAGGTGAGGAGAAGGGAAGAGACGAGGTGAGGGGAGAGGAGGAGAGCAGAGATGAGAAAAGAAGGGAAGAGGTGAGGAGAAGGGAAGAGACGAGGTGAGAAGGGGAGAGGAGGAGAGAAGAGCAGAGGAGAGGAGAGGCGAGAAAAAGGGATATAAAAACGGAGGACAAGAGTATAGAAGAAAAAAGAAGAAAGAAGGAGAAGAGAAGCGAATGATGAGACGAGGACAGAGAGTGAGAGTGGCGGAGTGGTGAATGAGTGTGTACCTCTGGGGTCCGTGTCCCCTCTCACACAGATTGACCAGCACGTACAGGTGCCTCAGAGCGTATTCGTACTGTAACAGAGCACAGAGATCATTTCAGCTGGAGCTCCAGAGAACCTTAATCTGTTAACCCTGCTCAGGAACAGAGTTCGTCCTGTAAATAACATTCCAGTGTCCAGTAAATTCCTACGCATCTCATCAAACCTGATCTTCGGTCACGCTTACATAAGTAACGTTAACGTTGTTAGCAGACAGGTTTACAGAAAAACATGATTTTCACTCAGTTTCTCGCCCTGTTTAGAGAAACATTTACACAGGATTCTGGGTAACCAGTCACTTTCTCTGTGTTTCAGTGCACATAACAGTACAACCTAGTATCAGCTACAAAGCATAGCTAGTAACTAGAGGTCTGTCCCGCTCCCGCCTACTTCTGCAGAAAATCGGAATCATTTGTCCCGCTCCCACCCACAACCGAAACATTTTGTCCCGCTCCCACCCACACAGTTCCATCAGTGCGAACCAACAACCAATATCTGACACAGTCTATTCACAAATACATTATTCTCTGCTGAGAAAAGTTACTGTAACTTCACTAAACGCCATTTATTCACCGTTTAAACACAGAGCGGGAATTAAACCACAGAGCGGATATATGTGTTGTTTTGCTGGTCAGCTGTGGCCGTCGGACTGAAGGCTTCATGTCTCTGTGAGCTACGAGAATCTGTGTTGTTGACCGGCTGCTTCACAGCTCTTTAGAACGACTTCCTTCATTTTAGCTGTTTTACTGTCATCATTTATATTGTTTATATATGATTTAGTGATCGTTCTACTTCATTTAGGCTGTTCATTAATTCGTGGGATTTCTCTTTTTGTGTTTCACTCCGGCTGGTTTCCTGCCCGTTTCGGCGCCCAACGCTGAAAATGCCACAACATACTGAGTCCAGCAGGAACCAGCGGGAGTGCAGATCTCTACTACTAACCAAGATCAGCCCATTTAAACTTTACTAGACTTTACTAAACTTTACGAAACTGCTTTGAACTTCAGAAACTTACAGAGGGAAGGCTAACCACCAAGCGAAAGCTTTCAGTCTAGCGTATCTGTCTGCATGTTGTCTGTCTGTTTGTTCGTCCGTTTGTTATTATTTTTTCAGCTGGCCCTGCCAGCATTCCCTGGATGCAGATCCAGCAGTAAAGTGAACAGTAACCTTCTTTAAGGTTCTCCATGCAATAAAAGCTGGACGCTGTGAGTCCACAGTGAGTGGACACAGCAGAGTCTACAGCACCACCTGAACATGTAGAGCCTGTTCCGCTCATTTCTCTAGTTGTATAGCTCATTTCGCTAGTGCTGGACTGAGGGCTGTCAATCATGCAATCTCATTAGAATATTAGGCCACGCCCAGACAGTTTTCACATAGTCTTTAACCCTTTAAATGGCCAGTCTCAAAGTTTTATTACAGACTACTATAACCTAAGAACAGCTCAGCCAGTTTGAACTGAAGTCCCTGTAGTTACTGAGTAATAAGCTTTTTTTATGTAATAAGCCTGAGATTTTAGGGGGTTAAGTCCCATGTGTCAAACACAAGGCCAGTGGGCCAAGTCAGGCCCGTGGCACAATCCTAATTATTTTAATTTTCTATGATTACTAGACTGTTTCACCCTGAGATGCACTACAGTCCCCAGCATGCACTGCAACAAACTACCTAAAAAAACTACCTAAAACGATTTATTTTTATTTAGAATTATTTTTGAATAAGTATTCAGTGCCTATTTTGCAGTTGCAATTTTGGCATATTTTAAATAAACATGTCCCGTTCAGGTCATGGCTGTTCGGGTCAAACACAGCTGGCCCACTTTTTTAATATGACCATTTTAATGGTTGAGTTTGACACTTCTGGGTTAAGTCGTGTTTTATGTTATTTCTCATTTATATTCCTCAATTAGTTGTTATTTTTCATCGAAACACTGCTCTGTGCTTAAGATAGCACCAAATTATAGTACAAACACGTGTGTGTGTGTGAGTGTGTGAGTGTGTACCTGCGGGTTGTGCCAGTTGAAGCAGTGTGTTTTGAAGTGTGTGAGTGTGTCTCTGTAACACTCATGCTGGGTGACCTCCTGGCGCTCGTCCAGAACGTTCTGGACCTCCCGCTGCTCCCCCACCACTCGCTCAGCCACCAGCCGCATGGTGTCCGCCAGCAGCTTACGCACCTGCACACACACACAGAGACTGTGTGTAAATACATATACGTACATTTTTCTTTCCAACTCTGCGTTTTAAAAATCTCAGAGATCTCTCTTCTCGTGGCGACGCTCATGATAAACACTAGGGGGCACTCCCACAGTATTCCCAACTTACAGTTTATCACACTTTGATTTAGTTTGACCTTTTTTACATCAGTAACAGCAGCTGACTGGATAACTAACATGATTATTTTAATGACATGTATATGTTTCAGGTGTGTGTGCGTGTGTGTGTGTGTGTGTGTGTGCGTGTGTGTGTGTGTGTGTATCATTGGCTGCTAGACATAACAACTGATTCCCGAATTCAACTGGGTAGTTTAGGATTTCCTAACTGGAGATTAGATGCTGTAAGATAAGGTTCCTAAATTAAGATCAGATTTGCTTCTGTAATACGCATTTGTGAAAAACCTGATCTTAATCTGTCAGATCTTAACTTAGAACTCTGTAATGTGGCTCCTGGCTTTCGTCTATCTGTATGTGATGATCTGATTGATCACTTTACGTAGTTAGTAAAGACTTTAGTGATAAACATCTCACACCTTCAGGTGGGCACTGATCTCCATCAGGTATCCCCTGGCGACGGTGATGTCATTGGTCTTCATGAGTTTCCTCTTCAGGATGGACAGGTAGACGTCCGGGCTGGGTGTGAGGTCACGCTCCGTAACCGGGGGCAACGATACGGGCTCAGCAGCCTGAGCTCCGCCCAGAGAGTTACCCTGGAACTCGATCACCTTCATATGAGACAGAGTCTAACACACACACACACACACACACACACACACACACACACGCAGCAAATTATACTTTTATAATAATATGAATGATAATGAACATAAAATATAGAGAATAATGAGTTTTTTTTATTCAGTTTAAGTTTTGATTTTTTTAGACTGTCTATATTTATGTTATCATTTATTTCTTGTTTTGATTTGTTTTCACTATTATTTCTATTGTGAGAGTTTTGAACAAGTATTATCATAATACTGTCTGCCCTTACAGTCTTATATAAGGGATCATACTGTTTCAAATAAATCAGATTACTCGTCTTGTTGATTAAAAAAATGAAACATTAACACACCCTCTTCTAAAACACTGTATGCACTGTGACTATTTGCTAAATTTAACATATTTAAGAAAAAAGTTTTTCTTTTATCAAACAGTAAAATCTGCAGAAACATGCCATATTTAATATTTATGTTCCCTGTAGTTCCCATTTGTTTGCTTATTCGCAATTAGAATATTAAAACCTAATAAAAACATGAGATCAGGGGTGCCAAAACTTTTGTATAAGACTGTATGCTTGTTTTTATTTGCTCTTCCTCTGTGAAGCACCTTGAGCTGCATTTTAATGTATGAAATGTGTGCTTTATTAATAAATATATTATTGGTATTCTAATTAAATCAGTACAGCGAGGCTGGTTTAGTTTGCTTTGCACTGCTTGCTGTAAACACGTCCTCTACAGGGAACTTAAATGACATTTTTCTGCACAATTTTGAGCAAAATGTCTATATTTGTAAGTTTAAAAATAAAATATAAAATGTCACAATTTTTGCACAGAACAGTTTGTTATTCAGCAAATAAACAGTGATTTGACGAAAGGCAGCCAAACTTGGACGTATATGAGAATGTATTACCTTGTTTCCGTACTGCATGACATGGCTGGTGTTGGTGAGGCTTTTAACGATTTTAAACTGCTTAGCCAGCGTCTCCTTAGTCAGATCCTCCTGCAGTGAACACACACACACACACACACACACACACACACACACACACACACACAGGCGAGAGGTCAGAAAACACAATTTAAATAAAACCTAACAGCATCTTCAACAATGTATGAAAGAATTCTGACCATGCAGCTGATGTATAAGAACGCCAATGTTGCTAACATGTAATGGAACCTTATATCCACCCAAATCAGCACAGAGCAAACTGTTAGACTGTTAAAGGGAAATTCCAGCATCATTAAACAGTTAAGATGTAAACAGAGCGGTTCAGAGTGGTTTGGTGTGAAACGCTCTGTTCTAGATAAACTTAGAGTCAGAACTGTTCACAGTGGTGGTGATAGGAACCAGACGTCCACCTCTAAAAGCTCCTCACAGAAAGTTCCTACATGAAATGGTTATGAATTCACTGCCTGATGACTGAGACACTGTTTTATGATGGTTTAGAGAACTTAAACTCCATTCATGGTGGAGGGATACATGCAGGGCGCTGTGAGGCAAAATAGTCCCCAAAGAAAACTTATTATTTCAGATTCTCCACTATTTTCATCATCAGCATTCCATATAAACTCAGAAGACTCGTGTAGGTTCACTGGTGGTTCTGGATAGTAAATAAAATGTCTATATTTGTGTTGTAGTCATGGCGACCCCTGGTTCCCATCACCACCACTGTAAAGACATCTGAACCATTTCACACCAAACCACTCTGAATCTCTCTGTTTACACCTCACAGACTGAAAAATCAGTGGAATTCCCCTTTCGCTAAGCTCTAATAGGCTTGCTGTCCATTTGCACCAGCTCATTGGTGGGTATAAGCTTCCATTACTTGTTAGCTACATTAGCCTTGTAGCTCCAGGTCTGATCAGATATATCTCACCTTGTCTGAGTCCTCCATCCAGTTAACGCTGTACCAGTCTCCCAGATAGGTTTCTCTGGCCTCGTCGTAGTAACAGGCGTAGGACGACTCGTGAGGGTTCGCGGCAGTTGTGGCATAAACTGAGAATTATAGAGGAGATAATGTTACATATACACATGAAAAAAACACTTAACTCATTAAAACATAAGCTTATTATTCTGTTATTAATCTTAAGACTCATTATTGGACGTATAACAGTACAGTAATAACTGCAGACATCAGCAGGTCAACTCACTCTACCAGTACAGAACATAATGGCACTCCTTTATTAAACATTGCACAATGAAGATTTCAACACTTCTGTACGATTCAAAAGCTTCAGTAAACTATTGCACAACTTTGAGCTGATTTCCGTTCTTTATGATGCCCTTTTCTCTTCACTACTGTAGATTTTCACACCAGACACTCAAACAGAGCCCTGAAATTAGAGACTAGAGTAGTATATATATACACCGATCAGGCGTAACATTCTGACCACCTCCTTGTTTCTACACTCACTGTCCATTTTATCAGCTCCACTTACTATATAGGTGCACTTTGTAGTTCTACAGTTACAGACTGTAGTCCATCTGTTTCTCTGATACTTTGTTAGCCCCCTTTTACCCTGTTCTTCAGTGGTCAGGACCCCCATGGACCCTCACAGAGCAGGTACTATTTGGGTGGTGGATCATTCTCAGCACTGCAGTAACACTGACGTGGTGGTGGTGTGTTAGTGTGTGTTGCACTGGTGTGAGTGGATCAGACACAGCAGTGCTGCTGGAGCTTTTAAACACTGTCCACTCACTGTCCACTCTATTAGACACTCCTACCTTGTCAGTCCACCTTGTAGATGTAAAGTCAGAGACGAAAGCTCATCTGCTACTGCACAGTGTGTGTTGGTCATCCTCTAGTCCTTCATCAGTGGTCACAGGACGCTGCTCACAGGACGCTGTTGGCTGGATATTTTTGGTTGGTGGACTATTCTCAGTCCAGCAGCGACACTGAGGTGTTTAAAAACTCCAGCAGCGCTGCTGTGTCTGATCCACTCAGACCAGCGCAACACACACTAACACACCACCACCACCACGTCAGTATTACTGCAGTGCTGAGAATGATCCACCACCCAAATAGTACCTGCTCTGTGAGGGTCCCTGGGGGTCCTGACCACTGAAGAACAGGGTAAAAGGGGGCTAACAAAGTATCAGAGAAACAGATGGACTACAGTCTGTAACTGTAGAACTACAAAGTGCACCTATATAGTAAGTGGAGCTGATAAAATGGACAATGAGCGTAGAAACAAGGAGGTGGTCAGAATGTTACGCCTGATCAGTGTTTTTATATATATACACACACACTAGACGCTAAATATATACACATATACACAATTAATATAGACTATAACTCAGATAATAATAATAATAATAATAATAATAATAATAATTAATAATAATAATAATAATAATAATAATATTACTACTATTATCCAAATAGCAGACTATAAATTCATATCTTTCACTCCTGGTCCAGGTGAGTAACAGAAGTGCCCGTTAAGCCTGACCCCGTCTCCACAGTGACCAAAAGCAGATGATTATGACTTCTACACTCTTTAACCACAAATCATGTGGCGGTCAAAACACACAGCACTGACAAATGAGTGTTTTGCCCAGAGTTGCTGACCTCAGCAGAAATGGACAGGAAAAGTGTAACATCAGCATGAAAAAAAGCTGTGGGAAGCAGAGACAGATCTACACTAATACAGCTGTATGCGCAAGCCTGACCACCCGCGGTCACAAGGCCTTTTTTTGATTTTCTAAGCGAAAATAAGGCAAAACCTCCTCTACAGAGAACCAGTGACTTTAACATGTAATGTTATTAGTATATTAGTAGAAATTTGTTTTATCCCCCCCAATGAGTTACATTCAGTAAATAAACAGTAATTGTGTATTAAACTGTACAGTAGTGTGTCTCAGGTGAGGATGTGTAACTTATTTACACTCAGAAAATCAACAAATACATGGACAAAGAGGGAAATATTGACTAAAAACTGTAAAATACAGAGTTATAGAGAGGAAAATATTTACTATAAAATCGTTAAGTCTATAGAAATATGTACAGAAATATCTACTGTAACAGAGGAAAGTCTAAATAATTATATGCACAAATTTGTCAGGTCAGTAGAGACACACAGAAATGTCTACTGTAATACTGTAAAATCTACAGAGACATAAACATTTATATAGTACTGTAAAGTCTATATAAATATCTAAATTTTTACTACTGTAAAGTCTGAACAGATGTTAAATAAATATTTACTGTAATACTGCAAATTCTACAGATATACAGAGAAATATTAACTACGGTACTGTAAAGTCTATAGACATATAATAGAGATATATGGAGAAATATTTCCTGAAATAGTGTAAATTCTAGAGATATTAGAGAAATAGTTACTAAAGTATTGTAAAGTCAATAGAGATAGAGAAATATTTCCTGTAATACTGTAAACTCTAAACCAGGCCATGTGCTCTAAACACACAGCAGAAACGGGATCTATATTAATATAAACGCACGTTTCCATCTGACTGTAGAGCGAGTCATCATATATGCAGTTCTATATACATTTCCTAATTAATAACACACAGATCACAAACCCACACCGCTTCTCTGAGCCGTGAGCTCCAGACGGCGTCATTTAATCTGTAATATTTTGGAACTGACGGACAGTTTTCACAATCCGCCCCTCTGTTCACCCTCAGACGTCTGCAGTCACCGCTGCTCTGCTTTACAGTCAACTGGTGTTACAGAATCACTTAAAGGGGAAGTTTACTGAATCACTGAGTTCAATCAGTGATTCACTGTTAAACTCTACACAAACAAAACAACACATTCTATACAACAAACATATTCTAAACAACACATTCTATAAAGAAGACAGACGGGTTTCAAATCAAGCTGCTAAAATGTATTTTACAGTATTTAACGTATTCTGCAGTTTTTAGAAGACGACAGTGAATCCACTTTATATATAATCTAAGTTGTACATCTGTTTTCTCTCATTGTTTGAGGGTCGAATCGAGCCACACTGAGGGCAGCCCTGCTTTAAAGCGTGACTGTTTTTGTGCAGTTTTGATAAAAAAAAGAGAAAAAATGAATCTCACCATCGATGTCCACAGGCAGAGGCTTCATCATGGAGCCAGACTCACACGCCTCGATGTAGAACACCATCTACATGAGAGAGAGAGCAGAATTCAGAATTCTGCATCCACTGAATAAAGCACTTAAAGCTCTGCTTTGGATCAGCCAGTGACGACAACTGAAAGGTTTAAAACCACGCATTAGCCACCACGCTAACATTAGCTCAATAACATGACCAAAAGAAAGACGTACACTCGATCTATCCTAACAGTGTTGAGCAGCAGCATCGCTACAAGTAGCAAAGCTGTTAGTTTACCTATATTTTTTAGATTATATGATTATATATAACTAAACTGTTATGGTGGAAGCGCCACTGCCCTCCCAATCAAGACGCTTTCTGGTCTTGATGCTGTTTTATCTGTAATGTAAGGACATAGCACTGACAAACTCTACATCGCTTAATTCCCCAAGATTATTTACAAAAGTACATATTAGTTAATTAATTCATGTATTTTGCATTATTTAGTTGGAATTAAACCCTCACTATATCCCACCCCCACTGTTTACTACTGTTTTCTGCATGTCACCAATTTATTATTGTGATATAAACTGAGTCTGTTCTACAGTTTCTCATTAGGCTGAATGAATAACTGACTCTAAATGTAGGTATTGTGATATAAACTCAGTCTGTTCTACAGTTTCTCATTAGGCTGAATGAATGACCGACTCTAAATGTAGGTATTGTGATATAAACTGAGTCTGTTCTACAGTTTCTCATTAGGCTGAATGAATGACCGACTCTAAATGTAGGTATTGTGATATAAACTGAGTCTGTTCTACAGTTTCTCATTAGGCTGAATGAATAACCGACTCTAAATGTAGGTATTGTGGTATAAACTGAGTCTGTTCTACAGTTTCTCGTTAGGCTGAATGAATAACTGACTCTAAATGTAGGTATTGTGATATAAACTGAGTCTGTTCTACAGTTTCTCATTAGGCTGAATGGGAGTTTGTCACAGCAGTAGCTCTGAAAGAGCACCTTTGAGGGACAGCTGTAGAGTAAAGAATGAAAAAAGAACAGCACCTTCTTATACTTCTGGTTTTTGTGCATGTACTGAATGGCGTCCATCAGGTCTTTGACAAGAAGCTGAGGAGAGAAGAAGGATGAACTGTACTGAGACATTTTCTACGAACCACAGAAAGGAGAAGTGAAAGAGCTGCACGGCTCCATCGTGTCAGTTATAAACAGGTTCATCATTTACAGAATCACACGACACGAGCGCTCAGACGTTTGCTGACTCAGATCCTGAGTTTCAGTCATCTGACTTGAGGCCAGTCCATAAACAGCAATGACAGAGCGGTAAAATATAAACTCTAAAATATTTACTGCTCATTCATTGTGTTTTATTCCCCATATTCGTCTGAATGTGAACAATGACAATAAAAGTAAAATGAAATTTCACTGAAGTGTGACAGTCTCATCTCTTCATTTACAGTCCTATGCAAAACAGACTCACTCTGATTTTACTGTAGCTTCAATCTAGCAAGTCTGTTCCTGCACATATAGACTGACCTCTTGTACATCTACTATCCATATCTTGTATAATCAGCTACTTACTGACTTACTGACTTACTATCCCCTGTGTACCCTGCTCCTCATTTATCTACCTCGGACTCTGATTTCATTACCCATATTACTGTTACAACAACTGTACTAGAATGGTGCAATACTGGTGTACATTAATGTGTATATTGTGTATATATGTAGTCTAATGTGTGTATAAAAACAATAAAAACCTAAATATAAAAAAGGAAAAAAAAACCATACATACATACATGTTTTTTTTCCTTTTTTATATTTAAGTACTACAAGCGGGCTACACACCTACGATTTTCACACCTGTGTAAATGTGATGTGACAATAAACGTGACTTGATTTGATTTGAGCTTTGGGCACCCCTGGTCAAATTCCACGTATTTGTTGATTTTCTAAGTGTAAACAATTAATAGAAATGATGTAAATCTGTATTTATGATAAACACAGTTGTTCAGTGTTCTAATATTGACCATAATCATCATACACTCAGAAAAGATTCTTTACAATAGCAATAACATATCGTCATATTGCCCACCCCACGTTAAACCGCTGTGAAATTATTTTGAATTGTACAGTTGTGTGCAAAAGTTTGTGCGCCCCTAGCAAAATTCCATGTATTTGTTGAATGTAAATAAGTTACACATCCTCTACAGAGGAACACGTGTGTGCCAAATTTAAGTCCATTACTGTAAAAAACATAAATGTGGATTCTGTGAAGGGCACATTTTATATTAACCCCCCCCCCCATGTTTTGAATTCAGCAAACAAATGGACACTGTGTGGTAAAGTTTACAGACTGTGTTCTCTGTAGAGGACGTGTTCACTTATGCACACTCAAAATGTCAACAAGATCATGCAATTTGACCAGTGGCACATACAACAGTACATTTAGATATAATATCGAAACAATTTTTGTGGCCGTGGACAATATGATGATATGTTATTGTTATCGTGATGAATCTTTTTTAAGTGTATGATGCGTACGGCCAATATTAGAGCAATAAACAACTGTGTGTGTCATAAATACAGATTTAGACCAATCACAGAGAGCCTTTAAAGGACAACGACCAGTGTACAGTAACTGCAAACTGCACAGTAAAAAGCAGCTGATTGGTTTGCAGCCTGTTATGACATAATCATTCATTTTCACCAGCTGAGAGATGTTCTCACTGCTGCTTTGCTGGTGCATTTTGTCTGTTGCAGCTCACAAAAACAGTAAAATTAAAACCAGATGTACTGTATCATGTTCCGAGGAAATGATTAAGTATCATGATGTATTTGTATGTATACTAAGTGGACTACAGCACAGTGTCGCTGGACACAAACAAAGGAATAGATGGTTGAAAAGTGCTTACATCATCGTTGGGGAAGGCCAGGAGTCCAGGAGCACCGTGATCAGTGAAGTACACAAACACGTGATCGTTGGGGCCACTGCCAGAGAGGAAGAGGAACAGAGAAAAACACACAGAGACAAGTTTAACCACGCGAGAATACAAACGAAACGCACAACAAAGACAAAAACCAGAACGACCGGCTTACGGGACACTGCAGTGCTGCACACAGACAGTGAGATAAAGAGGACTTAACTAAATTCATAAACTGCAGTGATTCAAACTGAAGTAAACAGACTGGCTGAGCTGTGAATGACACATTAAAGAAAAAATTAACTCTGACAAGTTAACTTTATTGTAATATTTTGATAAATCATCAATGACTATATGTAGAATATATAGGATGTCATGCGACTGATTTATTTATTTATCCTTTTAAATAAACAACTAACATCTTAAAAACGCTGTACGATTTAAAACATTAAAAAACAGAATAATTTTTTCTTCAAAATGTATATTTTTTTCATGTACACATACATACATACATACATACTACATACATACATACGTACATACATACATTCATCGCTGTTGAACTTACAGCTTGTAAGGAGAGTTAATGTACCAAGAATTTATCTGAGCAATTTTAGCTTATTTGTGTTGAGCCGTTTATTTAGACATTTTCACACAATGCAAACGGCTGCCGTTCAAAAGTTTTAGACACCTGAGAAAATGATCTTTGAAAAGCTGTTTATCTGGTCAGGACGTGTTTGTTTGCTCAGAAAAGCAGTGCGATTTTACGGGTGTCAGTATGTTTGTTTATCCATTTCCTGTAACTGTAGTTATTGTCCAATATCTGCTTCATCTAATCAATACTTCATTATGTTCAATCAGCTGCTGATGGAGTTTACTAAATCCAAATGATGCCTGGAGCGGAAATTTGGATTCAAGCTTTGTTCTTCAAACTAGCTCACTAGAGATCCACCTACTCTTTAGAAAATTCTTGTTACACGTTACTGTACGCATGTTTATTTGCATTTATTCGAGTGATTTATATTGTGTATAATGGCAGAAACACATTTCCTGCAAAGGTAAATGATTTAAAGTTTGTGGATTGTGTTTTTATCTACTTGCCTCTTCAGCACTTTTCCAGATCCTCCCTTCACGTTGGCTGAATCGCCCTTCAGCACAGCCAGGAAGTTCTGAGGAGTCACATCCTGCACACATACATACATACAGGACATTAGGTGAGAGGTACAAAAGGAATATGTGAACAGTCTATATTAGTGCTCTCAAAAAATCAACTCATTCATCTGAATGTGCTGAATAACTTCTGACCAATATTTTAGGTTACATTCGGCGATACAGCAAAACATATTACAATATCACGATACTTCAAGACGCTTTCACAATACACAACACTGTATCACGATATTTAGTTTTTTTGAGATTTAGTAAGCTAGAACAGACAACATAGGACCTGCCACATAATAATAATAATAATAATAATACTACAACTACAATGATTTTTATTCTATGTTTACAAACATGTGCTGCACTAAATCCAGTTAAACAGGCTTAATTCTGTTCACTCTGTACTGAAACATGCTGGTGATGATATCCACGATATGCTCAGAAAAGAATACTGTCACAAAATTTATCATAATAATGTTAAAATATCATCATATCACCCACCCCTACAAGTGCAATAATTTTCTATAAATTAAGTTTATTACAGTCTAATAAGACTAAAACTAAGATTGCTTCTATTACAGGCTACGTTATCAATATAAATACAACTTATCTTACAGCCTTACTGCAAAGGTCATTAGTGTGACTGTAAGACGTCGGATAAATATGGATGGATTATTATGGATTATTAACTAAACAGATATGTGATTAATTAACATAACCTCTCATTGTGGCTAGCGGCAATATCAATAACCGATAATTATTACCTTGTTGTGGCTGATACAGGTAACCAAAATCGACACCTTACTGTGGCTGATACTGATACCATTGATAATTTTACTGTGCATTTTATAACACATAATTCATATGTGAAGTGCAGTGTCAAAATATTTAAGGACTAATATGACCGATAAATAAATCACTGTATAAAATCAGTGTAAACATTTTTTTAAGTACATGTAAACGTATTTTACATGATTCACAGCAAGTGAACATAATACTGCCCAGGGACTCTTATTGTGGCGTTCTCTCTTTTTTCACATTTACAGCAGGATGGAGAATAATGGTCATCATTCTGTAGTCCTCCTTATGCTCATATTAGGAGCTCCGGGTCTGAGCTCCATTTCTCTGTGAGCCAGAATGAATAGAGTTTTCGAAAAATTGCCTCTAGCGCCCCCTGTGTTAAACAAAAATGTTCAGAGCCCGATACGTTTTGTCCTGTGAACGTTCTTCTCCTAAATATCACTGGATCACTAAAGAGCTATAATACTAATAGTGCTACATGCGAGCTAAAGCTACTGCGCATCAGTTTGACATCACTAAGCTACACTAAACTAAGGCGGGCTGTGCCGCTGCTCTGACCAGCTGAGCTACCTTATCGAAATGTTCTACTGTAGCGCTTAATTACAGGTTTACCTGTAAATAAAACCCACAGGTGGGATATTTTGACAGATTAAAACTCCTTATCAAAAATACTACCAGCATTAAAACTATGAGGCTGAATTTAGCTTCTTTTCCACAGCTTCTTGTTTGAATGTTCCCGTTCCACCTTAAATGGTGCAGCAGCTGTGGCTAGCAATCACAAACATTAGCAAGCGAGACAAACCTGTTAGTTCGGTGAAACAGCAAAAATAAGTTAATGTCACTCAACTGTTCAGCGGAAATAGAGAAACTTCCTCATATCAGGCCTTTCAGCCCTCCATGAAGCTGAACTCAGCTTCTTTTTCGCTGCTGCTTGTTCGAATTTCCCCATTCCACCTTAAATAGCGCAGCAGTTAAGAACATGACTGCTGCACCACTTAAGGTGGAACGGTAAAAGTCGAGCAAAAAGCTGGCGAATGTCCTGAGAAAATGTCCTCAGAAAAATGTTCCCAGCATTAAAATAATAATTAGGATATTCTGAGAGCCGAAATCAGTTTATCAGGGGATGATAACCTGATTAAGGAGGCTGCCAGTCTAATGATGTGAATTCAGTGCGCAGTAGTTTCAGCTCACATGCAGCAATATTCATATTTCAACTCTTTAACGACCTCGTAATTCAGAGGATCCAGTGGTGTTCGAGAGAAGAATGTTCTCAGGACAGAACGTATCGGGCTCTGAACATGTTTATTTAACACAGGGGGCGCTAGAGGCGGTTTTTCGAAAAACCCTATTCATTCTGGCCATAGAGAAATGGAGCTCAGGCCTGGAGTTCCTAATATGGGCATAACAGCACGACGACTACAAAATGACCACACAACTGCAGTGGCCTATGGAACCCTGAACCTCTTCAAGGTGTGATTTCCATATTAAAGCGATTGATCTCTCAGCCCTGCCGCTCAGGTCGTCAGTGTGTTTGCAGTGAGACTCACGTCGCCGATGTAGTCCTTCAGAACGCCTTTATAGACGTCCGTACCGTTCGGCCTGTTGATGATGATTCCTTTAGTAGGATTTCTGAAACAAACACACACAGTTCAGCTTCAGTGGGTGTTTAAACAGCAGCTGCTCTAAATCAAACTGAATGACTGAAATATCCTGATTTTCCAGAGGAGGACCTGCAATGTAATTTGGAGGAATATGATTGGTCGATTCGTACAAAATTAAAAAAAGATGGTTCTTTAAGGGTTCTTTACTAGAGGGAACAGTCCTATTTAGAACGATGAGATTTATATAGAACCATTTTATGCTTAAACGGTTCTCTGCATGGTGAAATGGTTCCTCAGATTGATGGAGAATGTGTTGTATACGGTTCTATACGGCACCTTTTTTGAAAAGCACCAAAAAAGGTTCTGCTATTGTTACAAGCTTCCCGTCGCAACAATACCAGAACCCTTTTTGGTGCTATACAGAACCAACACATATACAGAACCATCTTTTTTTAAGAGTGTTGCAATGACACAGCTAAATAAATTCATCAGGAAATCAATGTAAACATTCACACTGTTTAATGTACATATTTAACATCATTCGCAGCAAGTGAATGTAACACTGCACAGGCTCTTATTGTGGCGTTCCCTTTGTTTTACACCTACAGCAGGATGAGGAATTGAACCTGATCTCTTGAGTGTGGGGTGGTGGTGTTATCCACTACACTGTTCATTCATGAGTTTAAACACAAATAGGATGCAGCTATGATTATCAGAACTAATAATCAGATTAATAATCTTTACATTTTTCCTTTTAAATTCAAGTCAAATAAATGGATATAATATCCACCACTGATATATCTGCACCCCAGTAATTATTAATCCTATTAACCATGTAACTCTATATAAATAATGACGTAAACTGAATGTACAGAAGAACAATAACAGTAATAAGTGTTAAAGGCCACAGTGGGTCAAACAGAGTGTGTACCAAACGTCTCCCAGCGTTCCCGAGAGAGTTCCTCACTCTGAGCCGTAACTCTGTTCTCCTCCTGAGATTAAACATTAACAGCTTGACTAACACTCACACATCCAAAGATCAGCTCTGAATCAGCCGTATAACCCACACAGCTTCTAACAAAACAATACAAATACACAAAAATAAAGCAGCCACTGTTACACAACCGTCCTGCAGATACAGCGACACACCTTCACACCGACCTATTTAACCAGATCGTTATCAGAAATCAAAGACAGAAAATGACCCTGTTTCACATGACATGCAAAACGAGGTCACTAACGCAGGACAAACGTCTAAAAGCAGAGCTCATTTTCTAAAAATAAACAAAAAAAATTATGTTTACTCATTTAAATCATGGGTCAGGAAATCTATATAGGATGCTCATGTTATGGATTGTAACCTCATGTTGTCTAAGATTCTCCGAGAACCCTAAAATGTTAGTGTTTGCAGTTCGACTTTATTAATAAGCTACATTTAGCCAAAAAGATTAATTAATAAAAAATGTACAAATAAACAAAAAACACACACACGAGTATCCTAACTCCAACATTAAAAACCGAATACCTACCCAACGAATGGATATACAGACAGTCGAGCATTCAGGTCCAGCCGTAGTCTCCATTTTTGTTGTTTTTTATTAATTGTACTAAAATTATACTGTCAAAATTTCTTGATGAACGAACCAACAGAAACGATCCAGAGTGACTTAGGATAAAGTCTTGTTACATTAACTTACACAGTAAGGTTACTTTTTTTGTTTTGTTCCAACAGTAACAATATATTAAAGCAATCAGCCACGAGAGGCCGTGCGTTACTGGTCATCGGTGTGGGTATACTGTGGATTTCAGAACGACTTCAAACAGGGCTCAGCCAATCAGATTTTAGGACCAGAACTATCCGTTCTATAAATAAACATATGTGGCCAGTTGTTATTACATACAGATACTTATAGACAGTACAGTATGTTTAAAATATGACACATTTATGGGTAGATTTTTGATAGATACTGATACTTATATGTAAACATAATACATATGGGACATATATGTGACCCCGTGTCCTGACAGATATAGAAACGTGTGTGTGTGTGTGTGTGTGTGTGTGTGTGTGTGTGTGTGTGTACAGTCTGATCATACTCACTCCTCATTCTGAGCCAGATCATCATACATCATCACCACAATCTGCTCGTCAGGGATTCCATTCTTATGGAGGATCTGATACGCGTGGCAAACATCAGCCTAAACATTAAAAATAAATAAACAAACAAACAAACAAACAAACATCAGCTTAAAATGCTGTCAGTATGATGGATGGAGGACAAATGAACACAGGAATATGCCAAATGTATTTTTCTGATTAAATATGTTTCGTGGCTCAGTGAGGGTCATATACAGTTTTACTGTTTCTATGAAATACACAGACATTATGAACACAGGATGAGTTATTAGAGCGCAGTATTGATGAAATACTCAGTAATAATGTTTCTGTTGCTTTTTTTCTAACTGCACTCTTATCTCAGGATAATAAGGTCACCTTCCATATTTAAACACACAGCTCTGATAAGAGTTATGATGACGTCAGTGACCGAAACTTTGAACACTGAGTGTATGAGCTCCTCTGTTCAGGGGGATCTGAGCAAAATTCATATAATAATAAAGATTTAACCCTTTAACGTTTAACGTTTATATATTTAGACTGATGGATACTGTGATTTATATGATTGATTATATTGATGAAGTATTTATGGTATATGAATCATTCTTTTAATTCTTTATTTTAATGATACATGATATTGACTGTGTATTGTGATGCTGTATGATTGATTACACTGTGTATTATGAATGTATATGATTGATTAGTCTGACTGTGTATTGTGATGGTATTTGATTGATTAGTCTGACTGTGTATTGTGACGGTATTTGATTGATTACACTGATTGTGTATTGTGATGCTACATGATTGATTATATTGATGTTTGATTTGATTATTGTGATGGTATGGGATTGTGTCCTGACCTGGTGTCTGTAGTTGTACCAGCCGTTGGATCCGGCCACGATCACAGCCCAGTTCTTCCCGTCCTGTGAGAATTCTGCAGGGAACCCGCTCACGTACACCACACACAGGGTCAACCCCAACACTGCTACTGACCGCCACTCCATCTCTACAGACTACAGTCTCCCTGAGAGAGAGAGAGAGAGCGAGAGAGAGGAGAGAGATGTACTGTAAAGTCAGCCTGTCAACTCTGTATGAATAAAGGAAGCCAGTTTGTTAGTTTTGAGTTATAAAGCTCTAAAACAGTTAATATCTTACATGTAATCTCTTGCTGAAATATGAATTTCAACATTTCAGATGCATTAGTCATGACGATTGGCTCATCCACACAGAATTAGGTTAGAAGTTTACCCATCACTGTGGAGTAACTCAATTTAGTGCTAAAAGGTTTAGCGTTTTGTTTGTTTTGAACTTTTTTTTTCATATAATATTTTTTGTTTATTAAAATATCCTTTTATTTATATTGTTCTGTATATTCATGTTTTATTGCATGTCTTACAGAGCCACTCTACAGATGAGGCTTTTTCTCAGAGGGGTTAAAAACAACACATATTTTGAATTCTTCAGTCCCAAACTTTTTATTTTGGCCAAAAATGTCTGTGTACTTCATTGAATATTATTATAATCTATTATAATTCATTCTAACATTCCAAAATCAACGCGGTTCCATCTCCACCATCAGATCGATGCACTTTTACACCAGATGCTCATTTACTCTCATTATTCTGCACTGGAGGGACATTAAGACCCGGCTGGTGAGCGGAGAGAGGATGTTTTTATGGTCATCAGTGTCAGTGATGATTACGACACTGACAGTGAAGAACTCCAGCGCGGGGCTGATTAAACGAGTGCTGGAGATGTTGAAGTAATTTTGAAGTAACTGGCAGCCCTGCATACCATCTCTAAACTGGACTGTCTTTAAAGGGCCCATATCAGGGAAAAATCAAGAAAAATGAATGATATAGGCTCTTTAATGTGCTTGAACGTGCACTGCATGGCTGTATTACCTACAAAAATACAAATGTCAGCACTGTAACTCTATACTAACTCTATCTCAGCTCCAGAGCAGTCATTAGAAATAATGTGACTCACACGAAACACAAGACCGGAGCTGGAAAACTGGTTTAGAGCACAACCGTGCAAGAACTTCTGGTCATGAAACAGTAATAAAAGTGTAATAGATGCCAAAAGTTTGATCAAACATGAACAAACAATAGCTGCAGAACTCAGCCCTCAGAATAGGAGGTTTTTCTTCTGAAACTGTAAGGAGAGGACAGGCTTACTTCCACGATGCAAAATATGAGACCACAAAATGCAGCTGCTGCTTTAAGGTGCTTTACAGAAAGTGACGTCACAGCCTTATCATTAACCAGTTCGCCCACAGCCATACCTTTCTGTTCATTTGTTATGTTTTGTTTATTGTTTTTGCTGCTGTGAATGTTCCTATCATTTGTACTGCACCTCATCGCGCTGTGTTGAACACTGTATGTAAATCAAACTGACATTATTAACTGAAACAGAACGGACAGTGAAGCTCTATGGAACCGAACAGCTCCATATAACGAGACCAAACCCAGGCCGAGAGCTTTTTACATCGACTGAGCTAAAATCCGCTTCTTCATAGTCGAATTTTCCCGTTCCACCTTAAATGGCGCAGCAGTTACAGTCTGGCGCCTGAGGCTGCTCCATTGCTAACTGCTGCACCATTTAAGGTGGAACGGGAAAATTGCAACAAAACAAAAAAATACCAGACTCCTATCGCCTCATTATCGCTAGCCGGTTAGCTACCAAACTCCCTATCGGCTGATAAACACATCAGACACCAAATATATCAAGCTGTACATTTAATTCGCAGCAAAAATACAAATAAACAGGTTTAATTCACTAAGTTTAGCGTTAGCGTTGGTGGGGGCAGCACCCTGTTACTGTAATGGGACATGACTGTAAAGTAACGCTAGCTAACACTAACAGAATCAGTTCACGTCCAGCAAAAAACAACATTTATAATGATTATTTCTGTTATTAAACCATAAACATATATTATAAACCCAAAACAAGCGTGTTAATGTAAGCTACTCTTACCTTCAGCTCCCCGTCGGGTGGAATACAAGCAGCAAAAACACCGTGTCTGTTTAAGACGGGTCTCAAGGGGCGGGGCGACGCTCACCGCATCCAATCAGCACACACCACTGACGCTAGGCGAGACTAGAACAGCCGCATGACCAATCCCTTTTGCGGGAGGAGCCATAGGGAGCACATGACCTGTAGATCATGTGCCTTTAGTTTCGCTAAACCAGCACTGAGAAATGAAGTTTTAGTGCTTTGTTGACGTATTTATGATAAACACACGCAAAGTTAAAACATTACGTGCTTTATATATTCTTAAAATATATTCTGAAAAAGTTATAAACATACATATTCACAAAAGTTAATAAAACTCAGTGTTTCTTCTGAGATTAAGAATATTAATAAGCAGTTAATACTGAGTTCCCGGATGGAAATCTGATATATGGCAATGTATGGATTTCATATATATGGTAAATATTATCATACGTAGATTTCCCTTATTTCCAACTTTTATTAGACACATATGGACAGATATGTGACATACATGGCAACTTTTTGGAAATTGGCTGGTTTTAAATACAGGACATATATTTCAGCCATATATCAACACAAACAAACATAATGTGAAATGCAGATATTTAAAAATGAAAAAAAAATTACCATATATGGAAAGCATATTACCCACATGCCAGTCACGTTATGTATCTTCCTTATTTATTCCACACGTCCTACATTAGTATAACTGCACAACTAAACTCTAAAACATGCAATAAAATCGCTAAAACATAAAATAAAAATGAATAAAATAAAAAGCAAAATAAAATATAGTTTCCTGACACATTTAAATGATTTAATATTTAAAAACAGATCACATGGTAACAATTATAAATGTACTGGGATGTATTTAACTACGTATCAGACATATGATTCACTTAATATGCATATATGTGTAATATTTGATACTTACACATACATACACCACATGTATGTACATATATTTTGAAATATATGCCTGACCCTTTATGATATATGCGCATATATCAGCTTTGAGTTTGTTCCCCCTTTGCTGCAGTAACAGCCTCGACTCTTCTGCTAAGGCTTTACAGTAGGTTTTAGAACACTGCTGTGAGGATTTGATGGAGCATTAGTGAGGTCAGGTGCTGATGTTGGATGGTCAGTTCTGGGTCACTCCAACTCATCCCAAAGGTATTGGATGGAGCGCCACCAGTCCAGAGAACGCAGTTCCACTGCTCCACAGGGGGCTTTATACCCCTCTAGTCCACGCTTGGCACTGGGCATGGAGACCTTAGACTCATGAGCAGCTGCGCTTTCTATTGGTCAATGCTTTTCTATGGAGATCATATAAGCTGTGAACCCAAGGCATTAGTAGAGACAGTAATAGGCTAAATACACTGAACAGGCTTAACATTCTGACCACCTCCTTGTTTCTACGCTCATTGTCCATTTTATCAGCTCCACTTACTATATAGGTGCACTTTGTAGTTCTACAGTTACAGACTGTAGTCCATCTGTTTCTCTGATACTTTGTTAGCCCCCTTTTACCCTGTTCTTCAGTGGTCAGGACCCCCATGGACCCTCACAGAGCAGGTACTATTTGGGTGGAGGGTCATTGCTGCTGTGGTGGTCATAATGTTATGCCGGATCAGTGTATATACACAGTCATTTTTAATAGGGAGGAGTCTGCCCCAAACCCTAAACCCCTAAATTTACACTTAAAAATAATACTTACATTTGTTTTGTATTCTTTTCAATGTTGTTTTTAAAAGATTGTTTTATTTTAAAGTGACTCTGATATAATTAGATTTATCATGAGTTTAATTTTTAAATGAAAAACTCAAAAAATGCCATGTCACTTCTGAAACACAAAGAGTGTTGGTGTGTGGGCAGAGCCTTATTTTAGCCACGCCCCTCCACCTTAGAGCAGGAAGTGAGGCTGCATCCCTGTCCCCTCATGGCCACATGGTGAGCAGTTAGATCCCATTGTTTTGAAGTAAGTGTGTCCCAAAGTCTGAAAATCAGTGTGGAACATTAAGAATCGTCATATTTTCTGCAGTTCAGCACTTTTTAGTGTTTTAGTGTAAAATATGATGATTTTCTGTGTGAACAGCTGTTCAGAGCTGTGTTTGCTGAGTTTTTGAGTTCTAAATGAGCTAAAATTGACACCAAAACGGTCACTACTGAAACATCTGGTTTGGGTAGTGATATCACTATTTTGGTGGTGAGAAAATGAAATATTTAATCATTAGTTTCAATAAAATAATCATAATTAAGGTTCAGAGTCACTCAGAGCAGAAGGACTTTAGTCTGAAGTCAAAGATCAGTTAAAACCCCAAATGTGTTTCAGTTCTGACTCTGAACCAGTTGGTCCATGTACTGAATGTAAGCTGGAAAACATCATCAGTCTGATGGAAAGCTCTGCTGTTGGGAAAGCTGAGGGGAAACAGAAATGTACCACAGAGGGGTTTTCAGTGGCCAAAGGAAACGTTTGACTGCAGATAAGGGCACACCTGCGCTTTCAGTTCTGAAGAAGTGGAGTCGACCTCGCGCTCGCCTGTCATATGACCACTCCATTAATAATTACTTCCAGAAAAGACTTACCATGAACTATCACATGCTGCGTGTTTATTGCAAAAAAGAGGCAATAACATATTTTGTGGCCCACTTTCTCCTCCACCCACACTCTCACTGCAGGCCGAGTCTTGCTCGTCACATGCTGTCCCGCACCTGTGTGCAGGTGAATCACATGAGAGACGCCCGTCCTTAAAGAAACAGTTCAGCCAAAGCAACTGCGGCTGCTGTTTTTAGCCATATTGACATACGTTAGTCTATGTTTATAGATCTCTGTGATCATCTTACAGATTACATACAGCGTCAGAAACCACATAATTAGGTCTATCAGAGATACTGAACACCTCCACACAGGACCTTTAAAGGGGAATCCACTGGTTTGGTGTGAAATGGTTCAGATGTCTTTACAGCGGTGGTGATAGAAACCAGGGGTTGCCATGACTACAACACAAATATAGACATTTTATTTACTATCCAGAACCACCAGTGAACCTACACGAGTCTTCTGAGTGTATATGGAATGTTGATGATGGAAAATAGTGGAAAATCTGAAATAATACGTTTTCTTTGGGGACTATCTATATAAACTATCATAAAACAGTGTCTCAGTCATCAGGCAGTGAATTCATAACCATTTCATGTAGTAACTTTCTGTGAGGGAGCTTTTAGAGGTGGACGTCTGGTTCCTATCACCACCACTGTGAACAGTTCTGACTCGGTAAGTTTCTCTAGAACGGAGGGTTTCACACCAAACCACTCTGAACCACAGTGAACCACTCTGTTTACATCTGAACCACTTAATTATGCAGAATATTTTAAAAGTTGGTGGACTTCCTCTTTAAGCTTCCATTCCTTGTTAGCTATGTCAGCCTTGTAGCTTCAGTGCTAAAACAAGGCAGTGTAGTTGGGTAAAGTGTACATAAACAATATAAATTCAACATAAATAAGAAGCATATTCTTCTTACAATATATTACAATTTTGACATTAAATTTATTCTCCTGAATAAAATGTATAATTCTGTATTTAAAAAGCTACATATTTTGTACATATTCAATTTTTTTGAGTGAATGTGGTACCATATCTGTAGCTTACTCTCTTAAAAAGATGGTTCCTCAGGGGTTAAGTGGTAAAGACAATGGTTCTATATAGAACCAAGAACACTCAAAGAACCCTTTGCATGATTATTTAGCACCAAAAAGGGTTCTTCTGTTGTTACAAAGTCAAGCTTGTTACAATAGAAGAACGCTTTTTTGTGCTATATAGAACCTTTTTCAAAAAGGTTCTGTACAGAACCATCTACAGCACGTTCTCCATCAATCTGAAGAACCCTTTCACAATGCAAAGAACCCTTTAATCATGCAAGGGGTTTCTTTTAGTGTTCATGGTTCTATATAGAACCATTATGTTTACTACAGAACCCTTGAGGAACATATTTTTAAAGTGTGTATTGTATACAAGCTTGACATCATAACAATAAAAGAACCATTTTCAAAAAAGGTTCTATACAGAACCATATACAGCACATTCTCCATCAATGTGAGGAACCATTTCACCATGCAGAGAACCATTCAAGCATGAAATGGTTCTTAGTGTTCATGGCTCTATATAGAACCACTGTGTTTACTAAAGAACCCTTGAAGAACCATCTTTTTGAGAGTGTGGTCTCGTTTGCTTCACTGCTGTTTGTATTTTGTGCCTGTTTCTCTGTTTGTGTTCATGATCTGTTTAAAAAATTCTGATAAGACACAGAAGTACATTTAAAAATCCAGAAAAACAGAACAGCTCAGAAACGAATAACAAAAGAAAGTGGAAATGGTTCCGAGGTGTTTCTACTGTCTGGGGTGTGGGAATTTTCATGACTTTCAGTTCTTACTGTAAAGGACAGATGTGCTTTTCTCAGTGATGTGATGGTAAAATTCTGTTTCTTGGAAACAAATCAGCTGAAAAATACCCAGCGCTGAAAGCCTAAGCCAGTATCTGTGGCACTAAACAGAGGCTGGGAAAGGCAAAATTAATGAACATGGGGCTTTACTTTTAGCACTGAAGCTACGAGGCTAACATTGCTAACGAGTAATGGCTGTTTATGTACCTTCGTTAGCATGGTGCTAACTGCTTGCTTCCACTTAACTTCCTGTACCTTGCACTTTACTAAATACTCTGCCACCTACTGTACCATCTTCTACCTCCACACCTAGTGTGATTATTTGCACATCTACATAGCATTGTAATATCCATTACTATATATAGTATATAGTTGATTACACCCACTCTACATTCCCAGTGCAATATTATATGTCTCGGTGCAATATTATTATTTTTAAGTTATTGTGTAAGATTATATGTATATATTTTAGTTAAATTGGTTTTATCTATTCTTCTATCCTATCTATAGTTTTGTTTATCTATGTGTAAATACTGTTCTCTGCATAATTTGTGGAACTCGCACTCAAGTTTTTCACTCACCTGTGTCCCTGTACTCTTGTGATGTGACAATAAATCTGATTTGATTTGATTTGATTTGATACTTGCCTCAACTTGTGTGGAGCTGTTAAGTAATCTCAGTGTACGGGGAAATATAAGGGCTGTATTACATAAACATCATAACTCAGAAATGTGATCTGTTTAGTCTCCATGACGACTTCAGTACGGACTGAATTTGGGACAGTAGCTATTCCAGTTCCTACCTTCATCATCTCATCATGAACTCCAGATAAGAAAACAGCATCACACAAACATCCTAACTAGACTAAACCTCCTAAATCCTGTCCTAACTTTAGGATGAACCCCAACAGGGTCCTCACTTCTGTTTAAGGTCCGTTTCTATGGTTTTTAGGCAGCTGAGTCAGCAGCATAGTTCACTACCAGCATAATGAGCTCCATTTATCTCTACTGTAAAACGCTGCTTTCACTGCGAGATGATTTTCTTTTCTAACTCTGCGTTTTAAAGATCTCAGACGCTGCAGACTCGATCTCCACCGCCCCTCTGATTACCTTCGTGTGTTCATGTTGATGATGAAATATTACAGTGATGGTGGTGAATAATGAGGAGACGGAGCTGAACGTGTGTCTGTTTATTAGGAGGAGTAACGTTAGCGCGCTCGGCTAAAGCGTTTGGGAAATGGAGACTGAAACTGGGGAGCGGCGACGCTCTGATAAACAGAGTTGTCAGTTGTTCTGTATGAGAGGCGATACGTCTGCGCGTCCGCCATGTTGGAGAGGTCAAGATCTGCTTGTGAACAGATTCACTTGTATTGAGAGACGAAGAGTCTCAGGATTAAATCAGCCACAACTTCCTTATTACTCAACCGATTTTCACCAAATCTGTGTAGTTATAATCCTCAGACACAGATTAATCCAGGCTGCTCGGATCTGCTCTCGGTAGCCTTTATTACTTTAATAACTGATCGTGATAATTAGCCGTCCGGACCAGCGGGAAAGTATTCAGTATTCAGTATTCAGTATTCAGTCTGTACCTGACGTTAAAAACCGAGTTTAGCATGAGAAACAAAACAACACACATCAGCAAACGATCAATGTGTGAATCACTTCTAATATTAATACACATATAAATAAAATAAACCCCCAAAACACAGAGAGGAGGACGAAACTGAAGTTGGCTTCCTATTCACCAGCTTCTTGTGCGAGTTTTCCCGTTCCACCTTAAATGGTGCATCAGCCAGCTTCTTGTTCGAATTTTCCCGTTCCACCTTAAATGGTGCAACAGTTACTTTCTGGTGCGTGAAGCTGCACCATTTAAGGTGGAACGGGAAAATTCGAACAAGATGCTGGTGATGCACCATTTAAGGTGGAACGGGAAAATTCGAACAAGATGCTGGTGATGCACCATTTAAGATGGAACGGGAAAATTCGAACAAGATGCTGGCTGATGCACCATTTAAGGTGGAACGGGAAAATTTGAACAAGATGCTGGTTGATGCACCATTTAAGGTGGAAATTCGAACAAGAAGCTGGCAAATAAGAAGCAAACTTTAGCTTTGTGTAAGAAGGTGCTAATGTAAATTTATTATGAATATCTACATAGATTAAGGAATACTATAATTTACCTAGCTACAAAGCTTTAACCATCATTGTAAATAAATAACTACATCAATTTAAGACCCCCTGAATAGACTATTAAATGAAATAAGCTTAATATAAAACCAGAGGTAAAAACAATCACATCAACAGGTTCTCTGTGCTTCACCAACTGATCTGAATTTGGGGTTAGAGGGTGAAAACTGTGTAAATCTGATTTGATTAAGCAGTAATTAATCAAACGCAGCGCTGGTAAATCAAATGCTTTTATTTTTCCATCTTATAAAAGAATTTAAGTTAAACAGGGAAACAGTCCATCAGAAGCGCGGCTCCGTTTTAACCGATGGTCCTTGATACATTTATTTATATAACCTTTTTTTTTTGTCCCATAAATGAAAAAGATGTAACAAAATGTAAATAACCACAGTAATAAATATTCAAAGCAAAAACCCCCTTTTTGTTTTTTACAGTCACATAATATATTTTCATATATAACTATATTCGGTAAAAACCATTTCTGCCTTCAAGTTTAAGAGAAAAGCAAGAAAAACAAAAGACAGAATGATTGCATTTTTCATTCCCAAGGCATGGCGAATCAAACTGTTCAATAAATAGAAAACGTGATATAGTAACCTAAGGATTGTAGTGCATCGCTGTAAATCAAAAACAAACAGTACAAAAGAAAACAGAAGTCGTAGTGCAAGTCTACATTTCTCGCAAAGGTGTTTGTCTTCGTCCTTTTGTTGTTATTTTTGCCAACCTCAGAAAAAACAAAACAAAAAATAAACTGTTTAGTGTTGAGTGAAGCTCCCGCTCCACTGACCTGAAAATGTTCACCATCGCCATCATCACTAACACACCTGTGCCAAGCTCTGCTCACAAATCCGCACCTTCGTAGCTCATCTGCTGTCTTGTTAGCCTAAAATCCCATTCAACCTAATGAGAAACTGTTGCACCTCACAACCTCATCCATTTCAAATTATACTGATTTTGCACGTGTGAAATATCACTGTTAGGACAGATTACACTACTGTATCATGCTAAACGAGCTAACATTAACATGGAGGCGCTGTCATCTCCAATCAGGGTAGCTACAACAACACAGCCCAGCGCATTAGCTTAGCATTTTAAACTGGAAACTCAACAACTCTGAACAAACACTGGGTATTTTGAGACGTGAATAAAAAGCAGCATTATTATATCATCTTTATTAGCTTCAGGGAAACATCGATGAAGTAGCAGGCTACGTTTGCTTTGTAGCTAACAGTGCGGCTAGCTACAGGCTAGCTTTCATTTAGCTGAGCTAAGTTTTTTAGCTTTTTGATCCTAACACGCTCTACAAGTAGCGCTAACCTAGCAGTTAGCATGCTGGCTAAAGTGCCCAGCAAACAGTAAAAATACAAAAGTACAGATATCGTCACCACCTAACACAGACGCCCCTATTCTCCCCTGCATTTCTACACAGGCTGTCGTCAGAGAACTTAGAGAGGAGAATTACTCTCTGCAGTGTCTTCCCGATTTGCCAAACACTAGAGGGCGCTCCCGAATGAGTCCAAAATGAATGGGTTGATATGGAGCATTTGAGCAAAATCATAGTTTATAAATGCTGAAACATTTTTAATGTAACAAAATTCATTCATTTCCTGAACAGCATAAAACATTTTAACACTGCTGTTATATTTTAAGAGCTTTTAAACTCGAGTTATAGAAGTTTAAAACAGCGCCTCATGTACGTTCATGACGTCAGTGAGCGCGAACAGCCAATGAGCTGCTCCGCTCGCCAACCAATCAGCACTCAGTAGCAGTAATGTCAGCGTCCTGCTGCCTAAAACCCAATTGCTGTAGCAAAAAGGAAACATACAGGTGAGATTTCTTTGATTTTTTAGTGAAACTCGTCCGTCTACTTTCTACAATTAAAGGAAAGTTCTGTTTAAGTGATTAGAAACTATTTTAACTTTTCATTTTTAGCTTTTTAGCTTCATTCACTCCCACTCATTGAAGACTCGCTCGCAGGCGCCCTCTGCTGTTTTGCAGCCCTGTTTTTGATATAACAGGAGAAACAGGAAGAGGCCAGACTCCTCATAAACCGGCTCTGATGTCGTCTCTCTTTGTGATTATTTATTGCCAGTGGGGAAGAAATGTTTACGCTAAAATTAGCGTCTCCTCAGTTTTGGATATTCAGTGCTGTTATTTGATGCTGTTACGAAGCACCAAGTTGAATTTGTGTAGTTTCAAACGCAATATTTATTCATTCTGCTCTCCACTGAAATAAATGTACGTTCTTTTGCATTGTTGATAATAATTGGGCCCTAAAGCTTGTCCAACCTCGCAACAGCAGCTAAGAAGGGGCGTATTTGTGAACAGAGCCTGGTTAGGTCACTTTAACCACTCGTCAAATCCCTCGTACGGTTTCTGCATGAGACGGCCGTGCGCAGCCCAGCGCTCCAGGCCATATTTGGCAAAAGAAAACGGAACTAAAGCATCAAGATATAAACTCCTGCTGATATCTGAAGCCCAGTATAGTGTTTATCACTGTGTGTTGTGCCTCTGTTTATGCTCTGGTCTGCTTCAGTCCTGATGAGATGCATAGAAACAAACAAAATAAAAAAAAGCTTCAGCTTTTGCTCAAAAATGAAGAAATAAAGAAAGAGAAACGTTTCAACGGGGGTCGTCCGTCCGTCCGTCATGCAGCATATCTGAGCAATGCAGGGCAAGGCAGGATTCTGCCTGAGTTTCAGCAAGTGTGTGTGTGTGTGTGTGTGTGTGTGTGTGTGTGTGTGTGTGTGTGCTTCTCTCTGTAGAACATCTCCCTGGCTTTCAGTACCTTCCATCAGCAAGGTGGGAGGGAAGGTGTATGTATATTATCACTGGTCACTTTATTTGGTCAACCTACCCTGTATTTACAATCTCCGTCCATTTTATCAGGTCCACTTACAGTATAAGTCCTACTGGAGCTGGATTTGTTTACCAGAGGAGCTCCTGTAATGTGATTTTTATAAGCTTGAATCATTTGGGCACATTTTTTGACTATAATTGCAATTTAATCTGTGATTGTTTTCTGTCATTTTTTCGGTCAAGAAAACCAGAAAATCACTGCTTTTAGACGAAAACCTTGTATCTCCATTTTTGTTGTTTTTCAGGTTTTGACATAAGTTGAAAATACCTGTTGTTCTTTACATTGTCTGTAAATTTATGATGAATGGACTAAAAGAAACGGGCCAAAATGACATGGAAAAAAGTCTGGTTCCATTGACTTACATTAAAAGTGAAATATGTTTTTTCCTTCTCCTGTAAAGTCACCATTTTGGAGATAAGAGGTTTTCTTCCGACAGCAGCGATATACAGTTTTACTAGTTTAAGGCAGGCTTTCTCAACCACTGGGCCTCAACTGGGTTGGGAGGTACCCTCTGATGGTCGTTGGGCCCACACTGAGAGGGTCTGCAGTGGGCCGCTGATGGCACTTTGTAATAGAAAGCTCTACGTTATTACGGTAAATTTCCACACTTAAAAGTTGCCAGGTATTCTATAATTAAAGCTGCAGCTTTTGCAGGGAGAAAATCGCACTCTTTCAAACTGTGAGTTCCATATAAAACGATTAACGATTGTAGGGATTTGACTGGCTGATTCATAAAAATAAAAAATGCAGCGCGGACATTGATGTCGGCTTTAAAGGACCCTACACATTTCTTGTACTGATATTTGTGATTACTGATTTCTGTAATAAAGGCGTTATTAATCATAATTCCACTTCTTACCCTGTGTGTGACGCTCACTCCCCACAGCACACATCAGAAGAAAATGACAAAGTGTCTAAATGCAACAAAACCCTTCAACTGTAGAGCGAGTGTGTCTGCGCAGTAAGTGGACCTGATGAGTTGGACAGGACAGGTGGACCGAATAAAGTGGATAGAGTGTGTGTGTGTGTGTGTGTGTGTGTGTGTGTGTGTGTGTGTGTGTGTGTGTGTGTGTGTTCCTCTCACACCTCTGCCCCCAGCTCTATCACGCCCGTCTCTATGATTGGCACCAGTTTGTCGTCCACCTGAACCAGCAGGATGGCCTTATCCATGTGAGAGCGACTGACCGGCTCACGACCACAAGGCACCCACCGGTGAATCACCTGAGAGAGAGAGAGAGAGAGAGAAAGAAAAGAGAGCAAGAAACAGAGAGAAAGAGAGACAGACAGAGAGAGAGATAATTTGGGTATCGAGAAGTAACTGCCCAAAGAAAAATGACATTTGGTCAATATTGCAAACCGATGAGTCTGTAAACCTCTAAAAATGAATGTAATATTTCTCCGTAATGTGACTTCAGGCAGATCTAATCACAATTTCTACGTTATTAACGTTCCTGTATCGGCCACGCATCCACAAATTTCAGATATCAGCCCACAGTTTCCATCCTAGTGATGAATATCATGATATCATGTGATGCTGGGCTGCATCTAAATCAGCTGCTTGTCGTTACGTGGTTACTAAATGCTGGTGGTTGTTTGTTTCACTCACGTGTCCCTCCATGCCCTCTAGGGGGCTCCACTCCCTCCAGCAGCTCCGGCCCGCCCGCAGACGCATCGACTCGTCCGGCCACACCAGCTCTTTCCTCTTGGACAGGTTAATCATGTCCAGCACTTGACTCACGTCCACTATCTGAAACAACACGGACATGATATCTCAGAACCTTTATGTTAGAACATATCGTCACTGTTCAAAGGAAAACAGGCATCTCCAAAACAGAGCTTTACAGGAGAGGCAAAAACCCGCTTTACTTTTCATAAAAGTTATACAAAGATATTTTACTCATCCGAAAAGGATCTTCTGTTGTTGCTTGACATCGTAAGTATAGAAGAACCTTTTTGGTGCTTTATAGAACCCTTTTCAAAAAAGGTTCCTTGTACAGCACATTCTCCATCAATCTAAAGAGCCCTTTAATGATGCAAAGAACCCTTTAATCATGCAAAGGGAATGAACTCTCATTCTCTTTTCTAAAGAACCCTTAAAGAACCATCTTTTTTGAGAGTGCAGCGCAGTGCGGGCTCGCCTCCATCTCGTCCCTTCTGCTGTTCACTTCCTGCCCTCCATCTGGATTTCGTACGTCTTCGGAATCACAAACAACTTACTGCCCCTATACATAATGCTAAAACTACTGCCTGTGATTGGTCAGTTTGTATGTCCATCAAACGGCTCTTTCATGCCAAAGCAGGTGGTTCTTGTCCATATCGAGTGTTGAAACTCACCTGGCCTGCAAGACTAGGAAGGTAGTGAAGCTCTCCTCTCACCTGCACTCTGTAGGAGATGTCGTCCCTCCTCATGCAGGACAGTGACGGGTTGTGGTGATGATGGTGATGATGGTGGTGCAGGTGATGAAGCTCCGTCCCTCCAGCCTCACTGCCCAGCAGGCCTGCGAGTGGGAGAGACAGAACTACTTTTACTCACAAGCATGATCATCTGTATTCGAACACAAATGAGAAGTGGGCGTGGTCTAAACTGCCAATAGCTATGAGGTGTTTGTATGTGGGTCATTCTCCATTTGGAGGGGAAACCACATCACAAGGGCTTAAAAATGCTTAAAATATGAGGCACAGCTCCAAAAGTCAGTGTGTACATTTACACAGTCGACCTGAGATTAAATAACACTTTTCCTTCATGATTCTCTGATTTTTCTCTTTTTATCCTGTTTCATAGTCGCTCTGCATCTGTAAAACAGCTCATCATTAAACAGCTCATCACTGTCTTTCATCACTAAACATTTGAGACACTGCTGTGGGCTGAATGGTGAATCTGGAGGAACATCTGTCTCACAGATGATATTACTATGGAAATAAAAATTAATAAACATTTCTATTTATGTAGCACTTTTCATGCCGGTGGCAGCTCCAAGTGCTGAACAGAGAGGAGATAAAGCTTAACAGTAATACAAGAAATTAACAGTATTAATTTAGAAACATATACAAAAATGACACAGATCAGATTAGAGACAAAGACCAAAGAGCCGCAGTTTTACTGAAGCTCTGAGTTAAAGAGCTGTGTTTTCAGATGTTTATTAAAAGTGAGCTCTGAGCTCGACTGTCTAATAAAAGCTGAACTGAGCTCCACAGTTTAGAAGCAGAATAACTGAACGAGTCTCTCCAAGTTTTCTGTGTTTTACTGAAGGAGTTCAGAAGGTCAGAATCTGCAGATCTGAGATCATAAACAGACGGTCAGGAGCTTTAAGGTCATTTAGAGCTTTAAAAACCAGCAGCAGAGCTTTAAACTCTCTCCTGAACAAGACGATGACCAAAACTACTGAACTACAGTAAACAGTGTTACGCTGCGCCTGCTCTCTCCTACATACTGCATATCTGAGTGTGTGTGTGTGTGTGTGTGTGTGTGTGTGTGCGTCGTACCTGCGAGTGTGTGCGTGTGCCGTTTGCAGGGTGGGATGGAGTGTGTGGAGAGAGAGCCGGAGGGTTGGGGCGTGTCGGGGGCGGGGCCGGAGCCGAGGCGGAGCTGCAGTGTGCGGAGAGAGAGCTGGCTACTGGATGAGCGACACGGCTCCAAACCCGTGACCGACGTCCGCAGGGACGAGTGACGGCTACTGAACCGGAACGACGAAGACTGACTGACCACCGAACCGCGAGCAGGAGAGTGACGCACCAGAGCGGACTGGACAGACTGAGAGCTGTGACTGGTACCTACGGGGGGTGAGAGAGAGAGAGAGAGAGAGAGAGAGAGAGAGAGAGAGAGAGAGGGGGAGGGAGAGAGAGAGAGAGAGAGAGAGAGAGAGAGAGAGAGAGAGAGAGAGAGAGAGAGAGGGGGGGAGGGAGGAAGAGTGGGAGAGAGAGAAAGCAAGAGAGACAGAGATATCAAAAGGGAGAAAGAGGAGAGAGGGAGGGAGAGAGGGAGAGAGAGACAGGAAAAGAGAGAGGGAGACAGTGAGAAAAAGAGAGAGGGGAAAATGGACAGAGAGGCGGGAAAAGGGGGCGAGAGAGAGAGACAGACACACAAGAAGAGAGAGGAGAAGAAAGGGAGAAAGGGAGGGGGGGAGTGAGTGAGAGAGAGACAAAAAGGGAGAGAGAAAGGGACAGAGAGAGGGAGGAGAGGGGGAAACAGGTGGATGAGAGATAGAGATGGAGGAGAGAGAGAGAGAAAAGAAAAGATGACTAAAGTTAAAACTTCGGTTCGGAAAACGTTAAATGAACACACTGATAATTAAATCCCTCCGTACTGTATTAATATTATCTGTATCTATTCTATTATTAGGGTTTTCTCGGGCAAATTAACACGTACTGCCCAAATAAAAGCTTCTTAAATCTAATTTTTTAAATCTCGTTTAAACTCCACTCTCAGTGTGACGTCTGAAGTGTTCGTACAGGCCAGCCGTTCGGGACAGAGGTTTCTGAGGTGTGAACGCGTTTGGTAGCTGATCAAAGGTAAATGAAGTTATTCACTTCAGTTTTATCCTGCAGCTCTAGTGTTAACTCAGTGTGTGTGTGTGTGTGTGTGAGTGAGTGTGTTTACCCAGTGAGTGCGGAGTGTGTGTGTGCTGTCCGTTGGGTGCGGTCACTCTGCCGTGTGAGATAGAGCTGTGCTGTGATTCGCTCACTCCACCGCCCGTATTCCCAGAATTCCCGCTGTTCCCGCTGCCGCAAGACAGAGCGCCGCCATCACACTCCTCCATGTTCCCTCCGCTGTTGCAGCCCGCACCGCAACCCTTACGCAGCCTGAAACACAGCGCATACGTTATATATACACACACATCAGTATCTATACTTAATAATGATAATGTCCCACACACACACACACACACACACACACAGTGGGGTCCAAAAGAGAGCGCTGGTGAAAATGCTTCTATTTTTGATTACAAATGATATTATCAGCATAATAATTTGAGCAAAAGTACAACCTTTGAAATTTTAACATGCATTTCAGAATCTCTTATTTATATATAGTATTTGGTGGTGTGTCCCTCTGTGGCTTTATTGACTGGACGCCACAAGTTTGTATAGAGCATATATATGATGGTGCTTCGAGGGTTCTTTAGTAGCACGGTTCTATATGGAACCATGAACACTCTAGGAAGATATGCATGATTAAAGAGTTCTTTGCATCACGAAAGGGTTCTCCAGGGTTCTCTTCTGGAAAATGGGAAAATATGCTGTAGATGGTTCTACATAGAATCTTTTTGAAAAGGGTTCTTCTACTGATACGACGTCAAGCTTGTAACAACAGAAGAACCCTTTTGGGTGCTATGTGGAACCCTTTACAAAAAGATTTCGTATAGAGCCGTCTACAGCACATTCATGCACATTCTCCATCGATCTGAAGAACCCTTTTATGATGCAAAGAACTCTTTGATCATGCAAAAGAACCATTTTCTTTACTAACGAAGCCTTGAAGCACCATTTTTTACATTATATGCAGATACAGGATTACAGACACTTGTATATGTTCCACATTTTACATCATAACCAGAACTAAAACAATATTAGAGGAAAAAAAACTTACATAAATATATATTCTCATAGTAATGATTAGGTCAGGAAGTGCTTGTGCCTTGTACACAGTTTGAGTATTAATTAGGAAGAAAACAGACACATACAAAATACATACAGGGTCATATCACTGTACATACAGATACTGGGATTGTAGTTATTTAAGCTTTACACAGAAGGGGGGGGGATGCTAGTTAGTGAGGAGACATTTCAGCTTCTCAAAATATGCAATCATGGGATCCCAAGTTCTATGGAATTTTAATAGTAATAATAATAATAATAATAATATTAATAATAGAATTTTACAGAAGCCTTTCTAGATGAAAACTTTTCTAATTTAAGGAGAAGCATAAGAGCGCAGAGCCACTGTGAGGCCTCCTGTGGATACGGTGATTTCCAATTAATCAATATCCTCCTTCTTGCCAGAAGGGAAGCAAAGGCCAAGGCCTCCTTAATCCTATTCGGAATTTTTGAATCGGTGTTAATTAACCCAAATACACATAATTCAAAACTTGGCACAGTCTCTATATCGAATGCTTCCGATAAACAGTAACTGCCAACCAAAAACTTGACAAAGCAGACAAGTCCAAAACATATGCGATAGGTCAGCTTTATCTAAATGACCACTTAGCTCATCTGTCCCATGTTGAATTTTTGCCAGTTTCACTTTGCATTTTCACTGCAGTAATGAACCCTGTGAAGGACCTTGAACTGAATCAGGTCAATCCGTGCACATGACGAAGATCTGGTGATTATGTTCAGCTGATTTCCAAGTTTCTTCAGGTATAGTCAGACTCTAAGTGAGTATTATGGGGGGGAGCAACTTTATTAAAATTCTTGAAATTAAACCTTTATTTATCATGGGTAATTCAAGAATATCTTCCAGGGGAGTTTTTGGTGGCAGGGAAGAAAAATAAGGGTGTCGATTGCGCATAAAATTCAGAATTTGAAGGTATCTGTAAAACGAAGAAGGTGAAAAAAGAAAAAGAAGCAGAGACTCCATCAATATATAGATCTACAAATCTACTGATGCCCTTTTTATGCCAATCATTAAAGACCCGATCCACGGTAGCAGGAATAAACAAATAAACAAACAAGCCGCCGAAATTGGGACCATATCTTCAAAGTGGATCTAACAGCGGGGTAAGTTGTACAAGTCAAAGCGGGTAGAGGTAAATTAGCTGTTACTAGAGCTGAAAGCGAGGATGAAGTACAAGCGTCGACTTCCCAACTACACCAGTTTAACTGAGGGGATTGATACCAAAGTGCTCCCTTCTGCACATTAGCTGCCCAATAGTATTACATAAAGAGCCAAACCACCTCCTTTCCTTTCTCGTTGTAATAAGCTCTTATGTATCCTAGAGGTTTTTCCTCCCCACACAAATGACAGTATAATACTATCTACAAGTATACATATATTTTATACATCTATGTATAGACTATCTATATAACTCAACTGCATGATTGATTATAAAGAGAGCATATTTAGTCCTGCTTAATTGGATTTAGTGCAGCACAGTGTGTGAAATTTCAAATAATATTAATAATCACTGTATTCACTGTTTTTGATACTTCACATATCTTTCATACGTGGCAGTACTTTATCTCTTCAAAGCGATCATGTCAGAAAATGATAATCGTGATGTTGTGCATCGTGAAAACTTCATGAAATACTGCGATATTACATTTTTGCCACATCGCCCAGATCTACTGACAAGTATGTGGAACTACAGAGGAGATGTGGGAGGGGACTGGAGAGGGCGGAGCCAGGACAGAGAAACCACGGCAACGCCAATCGCTGAGTGATGCAGCATGAGTCTGATCCACAGTGTAGTGCTGGAGTAACTATGTTAAATAAATAAATAAATGAATAAATAAGTACCCCTCCCCCTCCCCACCTGTGCCAGGTGTTGACGATGAAGTTGCGGATGTTGGCGATGCTGATCGGCCCCCCCAGGATGTGTCCGAGCTGCGCGTGCGTGTTGCAGTAGGAGGTGGTCAGCGGTGAGACGTAGATGGGGTATCCGATCGGCTGGTCGCAGGACGAGTTGATCATGTTTCGGAGCGCCTGCTTGGCGTTCTGGATGCTTCCACGCTCCGGGTTCCTGTTCCGCAGAAACACCAGCTCCTGCTGCTGCCCCGCCCACAGACCGCGCACACACTCCTTATTCACCTGCACACACACACACACACACACAATCAGACCATTAGGACCCCATAACAACCCAAATACAAACTGGTACAGAAATCTGAAAAACTGAAATAGCAGGAAAGCGAAAAACAAGCTATTTTTGTTAACTACTTAACCTCAGGAACCCGACGGGCCCGGCATGGGACCCAAAGAAAGCGGCACATTTCGTCAGTGTGGGTAACCAGCTTTTTGTGAGCTCCACTGTTTCCTATCACAGCATAAAAGATGCATGAGCCTGCATTTGCTGCTGGAGGCTCCGTTTTGGTTTCCAAAGGGAGCAGACGAGCTTCTGTTTACTGATCTGTTTAATCATTTTAAACATCCCTGGTCAAAAAGTGAAAATAAGTCCACACAACTTAAACATGACATTTTTTCTGCTAATTTTAGTGCAAAATTTCTTTTAATTTGCTGAGTTTAACATAATTAAAACGTAAAATATAAAGTGTGCCATAACTTTTGCAAAGGCCATTTTTTATGTTTATTTTTATATTAAATTCAGCAAATAAGCAGTAATTGTGCATCAAATTGTGCAGAAGTGTGCTCTCTGTAGAGGATGTGTTCACTTAGAAAATCAACAAAACTTAATTTGAACATTTTTATATATAATATGTGGACGTTATTTTGCATGCAAGAGCCTTTAACAACGAATTTACGAACATATGCAAGAATCAAGAAAACGCCAAAGACCAAAGAAGGCTAAATAAAGGGACAGTGAACAGCGTCTTTCTGGGGCTCCTGAGTGGCGCGACTGTGTTGGCTCTCCTGTCGGGAGGCTGTGAGTGTGATACCCAGTGATGCCACAGCCAACCGTAAGCAGCAGGCTGAGAGATCATAACTGTCCGCTCTCTCTGGGTGGACGGCTGGGAAGCAGAGGGAGACCAGGCTAACGGGAAGAACTGGACCGACTAAACTGGGTAGAAAATCCCTTCAAAACTTTCTTCCTCTTTACCTTGATGACCCTAAAGCTGAGGTATCTGCGATTGAGCATGATGATCTTGTACTCGTTCGTTCCCTCGTCCAAAACGTGGCGCAGGGCGAGCAGCGAGGGCGAGTTAGAGAGGACGGCGCTGCGCCAGGCCGGGTCGCCCTCGTGAGCGATCACCAGCGTCCGCTCGTGAGAGGAAATCGCCTCAAACAGCACGGCGGGGTCATCGTACTCATCAGGAGAGGTGAAGTGATCCTGAGAGAGAGAGAGAGAGAGAGAGAGAGAGAGAGAGAGAGAGAGAGAGAGAGAGAGACCTTTAGGTCTTGGTAAATGCAGTAAAGCAGGTTGCTTTGGTTTCCACTGAACCCATAAGGCGGAATGAGGAAAAACAAAACACTATTAAAAACCTGCACACAGGTCACAACGTACACCTGCATGCCGACATCGGTAGATCTCACCTGGTGCACTTCAGGAACAGGAAAAACTCGCCTGTTTTTATTTTTTATATATACACTTTTTTGATCACGGATATCTGTGTATTCACAGGACTCTTTCATACCTGTTACATTACAAACTCACCTGATGTTTTTAGTGACAGGAAAAACTCACCTGATGCAATTTTAGGTAACAGATGATGGGTATGAGTCACCTGTTGCAGTTTTAGTGGCAGGTACAAGTCACCTGGTGGACTTTCATTTACAGGTAAAAGACAATTAGTGCAGTTCAGTGCAGGTAAACATGAGCTTGTAGGCTTTCAGTTACAGGTAAAATTCACCTGTTGCCATTTCAGTAACAGGTAAACTCCCCTGGTGCAGTTTTGGTGACATGCAGCACTCTGCTGATGTTTTTGGTTACAGGTAAAAGTCATCTGATGTTTTTAGTGACAGGTAAAACTCACGTGATGCAGTTTTTAGGTAACAGGTGACAGGTATGAGTCACCTGGTACAGTTTTAGTGGCAGGTAAAAGTCACCTGCTGGACTTTCATTTACAGGTAGAAGTCACCTGGTGCAGTTTCAGTGACAGGTAAAAGTGAGCTTGTGGGCTTTCAGTTACAGGTAAAACTCACCTGTTGTCATTTTGGGAAAAAGTAAACTGACCTGGTCCAGTTTCAGTGACTGGTAAGACTCACTCAATGCAAATCAGTTTTTACCTGTATTTCGGTTACAGGTAAAACACCTGGTGCAGTTCCATGACAGGTAAAACTTACCTTGTGAACTTTTAGTGACAGGTAAAGCTCATCGGGTCCATTTTTGGTGACAAGTAACACTCTCCTGACATTTTTAGTGTAGAAGTCACCTGATGTTTTCAGTGACAGACAAAACTCACCTGGTGCATTTTTAGTGGCAGGTAAAACAGACCCTTTTTTCTTTCCTGTTGTGGTATTTTATATGTCCAAGGTTTTATTTACGTTTTTATGTAAAGCACTTTCAGAATTTTTAAACTAAAATACAAAATGATGTAAATAAAAAAATTATTATTATATTATTATTGTTGTACTATTTTTACCTGGTGCAGTTTCAGAGACATGCGGATTCCAGGTACCACCACCTTCCTCAGCAGCTCCATATCAGCAAATATCCACTCATCTCTGACTGAGGAGATCCGGAAATCCCCCTTAAACAGAGCGTGCAGCCCATACAGGAACGACTCCAGGTTACTGCACACAGACAATGACAAAGACTGTCAGAAATGAATTGATCCACATAAACCCTCACGTTAGTTTTATAGTGTGGTCACTACATTTTTAGTCAGAACTGTTCACAGTGGTGGTGATAGGAACCAGACGTCCACCTCTAAAAGCTCCCTCACAGAAAGTTCCTACATGAATGGTTATGAATTCACTGCCTGATGACTGAGACACTGTTTTATGATAGTTTAGAGAACTTAAACTCCATTCATGGTGGAGGGATACATGCAGGGCGCTGTGAGGCAAAATAGTCCCCAAAGAAAACTTATTATTTCAGATTCTCCACTATTTTCATCATCAACATTCATATAAACTCAGAAGACTCGTGTAGGTTCACTGGTGGTTCTGGATAGTAAATAAAATGTCTATATTTGTGTTGTAGTCATGGCGACGCCTGGTTCCCATCACCACCACTGTAAAGACATCAGAGTCTGTAAGTTCCTCAACAGTAAACAATTTCACATCAAACCTCTCTGAACGACTTTACATTTCAAAGACTGAATTTTTCAAAAAATTGATTTCATTCAGATGGTCTGAGAGCAGTTTCGTGAAAAAAGTACTATATTTTAGTGAGGACTGAAGATGGCTCTACAGGTACTGTGCACTGTTGCTGGATTACAGAGCCTAAAACGCCTGCAGGAGTGTAAATTTTACATTGATGGCGCCCCCACCTGGACATGTGGTGCGCTGCAGTGCCCAGTGCTCTCCTGCCCAGCACACACAGACCATAACACAGCAGGACCAGCAGAGAGTCCTTCTCACTGTCCAAAGGCTAGAGAGACAGAGAGAGAGAGAGAGAGAGAGAGAGAGAGAGAGAGAGAGAGAGAGAGTGAGTAATACATTTTTTTTCAGACTGAAAGAGCATATCGTCACTGTCAGGGCAAAATCTCATATCTTAATTTCTGTCGCTTTCATTTTTTAATAAAATTAGAAAAAGCCAGCTGCCCTTTATATTGCGTCATATTTCACCAATTTTATGGTGAATGGGCCAATAGAAATGGTATGAATTCCCCCGAAAAAACTAACATTTCCATTAACATCCATTAAAAGTTAAGAAGCCTTTTCCTTCTCCTGTTCAGTACCATATGAGGTTTTATTGAGACAGTGATGAAATTTTTTTTTTATTTATTTAGTCATTTATTTATTGGGACATATAATTACATCTGTGTTCTTATATACAATACATACAGGTCATTTTGTTTTACATAAAAGTATCTGCACAGATATAATACATATCACTGCTGTTGGGAATGTTGTAACGTCAGCTGCCCTTCACAGTGTGTTATAACTTCATGATAAATGAAACAACAGAAATGCTCCAAAATCAACTCAAATTAAAATATTCTTCCATTAACCTCCATTCAAAGCTAAGAATGTTTTTTCCATCTCCATTTTGGAGATACGAGGTTTTGTTGCGACAGTGATGATGTGGAGCATAATATTATTACACATAGATACTGGCGTATATACAGCACATATTAAAGCAATAAGCCGTGGGTTACTGTGATTGTATCACAGGGAAGGGTGTTCTTTGGCACGATGCGAAGTAGAGTGAAACTCCCTTCCCTGTGATAAAATCACAGTAACTCACGGCCTTAAGCGGCTTATTGCTTTTATAAAATGGCGGCCAACATAATCATATTAAAATACACAACGTTTTAGATCATTATTTATGTTATTATTAATAATAACAGACATAAACAAGTATTCCGCCAAGAAATGTAGTTCCTTTAGAGTACAGTATCGTTGCTAAGTAACCATTGACCGCTGAATGAGGAGAACGTTCGGTCGCCCATCACTGTAAACTTCAGTCATTTCATGATTTTTATAGCTTTTTTTCGTGTAACAGTGAACATATGATAACTCAGCACTGTTTAATGCAGAAACGTTCAGTTCATAAGTACTGGGGCTGCATCTCAAACGGCTCCCTGCTCCCTACATAGTGCACTAGGTAAATTTAAATACTCACTCCTGCAGCCCAACAGAGCAAAATACAGCTAAAAATGGTCATTTGGGATTCATCCACGTTCAGACTCGACAGGCAGGGCAGTATCTGACAGCAGAAGCTGGAATTTCTAAACTTAATGCTACACACTACACTATTTAGCTCGGGAGTGCGGAGCCGTTTGGGACTCAGCCTGGGTTTGACGCGACTTCTGACTGAAACATTGACATTTGAAGTGTGTGAGACATTCAGGTGGCGTTCTTTAATCTTTATACTGCTGTTTTTCATTGAATCATATCGTGAGTTCTTTTTAAGTTTGTGATGTTAATGTTGGAGGTGTTTAGCATCTTTGCTATCTTGTAGCCTGTTAGCTAGCTGACCAGCCGAGTTCTAGATAAGAAAATACCTTTTCAGCCCCTCAGTTTAAACAAAAACAGGTTCTTACTTCATCAGTACACTCGGTGCTCCGTGTGATCAGAGTTAGAGTCATAGATTATTCACTAACAGCAGAAGGGTTTTTGTGCTGTGGCGCAGTGATACAGAGGTCAGTTGTTGTGAGGCCGTCAGAGCCACTGTCTGTCATGGACTTCACAATGGCTTCGAACCCGGCTCAGCCAATCAGATTTATAAGGGACATTATTACATATAGGTAGTTTTATATATACTATTTATATGTATTATATAATATATATTACTATTATATAACACATAATGGACATATTATTACATATAGGCAGTTACGCATCGTCGCTGTCCAAAGAAAAACAAAAAACATATCTCCATTTTTTTATTTTTATTTTCTACATCATTTGAGCAGCAGCTGTCCTTTACATCGCATGGACATTTCATGATGATTGCACCAACAAAAATGTTCCAGCATTACTTGGAATAAAACATCGTTACATTTACATTATAATTCAAGAATTCTAGAGAGGCTTGTTAATCTTTGGACAGTGAGGACGTATAGAACAGAATATATATTTCAGGAATATGACTCTACCTTCTGTCGCCTGTTGTTGCAGTACTGTATCCAGCTGAGGTAGACTGAGCAGAAGCTGTCTCTGGAGATGCCGGCCAGCCTGTGGTCGTAGTCCTCGTCGATGTTGGGGTTAAAGGTCGGGTCCAGGTCGACGTAGTTACGCTCTCTGCAGCTCCTCAGCCCGTCCAGCATCGCCTCGTTACCCAGCCACTCCTCCAGCTTAGGAGACGCCACTACGTAATAGATTATTCCCTGCAGACGGAGAGAGAACGCAACAATACTGACTCACCATCTGACCCGTCCAAGCTCCGCCCACAACGCCACTGATTGTTTTAACAGCATTAACACATTTCTCTAGTTTGACTCTTCAACCCAGCCGTAGCAGTGCAGGCTGAAGCCCGGCTGCAGTGCGCTGCGTTTCTCTGAATCCGCGACTGTGGCGCTCTCGTTCAAATACAGCTTCTTTTGTTCGCTCATACAGCTACAATAAAAATGCACTAAGCTGCTATAGTTACCCCTAAAGATTGTATTTAACCCTTTTAAAGGACCCAAATCTGCATTTTCTGTATTCTGTTTTACCCCTGAGCTCTACTTATGAAATTTGTATGGCTTTATGTACAGAAAACAGTTATGATTAGTTATCATTTTTGAGCCTCACTTCACCCCTTAACATTTAAGAGGCTGGTTTTGTTACTGCCTTACTGCCTTTAAGACTGATATATGTTAATGAGCTCCATTCTGATTGGATGCCCTCATTCAAAAAGCAATCCAGGCAGAAATGCTCCTTAAAACATCAGGCTGAATGGGTGGGGCTAAACTGTTAATTCCAAACGGACTGTATTTGCAGCTTAGACTGTATGTACTGATTACACTTTACCAGTGTTTGTACTAGAACGAGCTCTTTAACTAAAAATAAAACCTTTTTCTACTGTTTTTTCTCCTGCGTCCTCACCTTGACGTAGTAAGTTGTGAGGATGCGTCTGAGGTCGAACACCTGCAGCATGGAGGCGGCGCTGTTGTCCGTGATGCTGTAACCTTCCAGAACGTATTTAGTGACCAAAACCTCCCAGGCCAGCCAGCGCTGACCGAAGGCAGCGTTAAAGGACAGCAGGTGGGGCAGGTGTCCCGGCTCACAGCAGCAGCAGCCCTCGTCCTCCTCCACCCCCTCCGTTATGGCCTCCACCTCCCTCTGCTGGCAGTACGTTCCTGAGGGGTTCAAACACACAGCCAGGTAAGCGTACAGTCTGCAGTACACTCTTAAAAAGACAGTTCTTTAAAGGTTTTCTGTTAAAGACAACGGTCCTACATAGAACCATGAGCACTCAAGAACCATTCGTATGATTAAAGGGTTCTTTGCATAGTGAACTGGTTCTTCAGACTGATGGAGAATGTGTTGTTATGGTTGTTTATCGCACCAAAAAGGGTCTCTCATGTGTTACAAGCTTGGCTTCTTATGGTTATGTATGGAATCAAAAAGATTCTATACAGAACCATATACAACACGTTCTCCATCAGTCTGAAGAACATTTTCACCATGCAAGGAACCATTAGAGCATGAAGTTGGGATAATGTAAGTGTGTTTGGGTTTTCTGTTCTTATTATTACCAATATTTAAAATACACTACTACTTACAACAACAACAACAGCAAAAATAATAATAATAATAATAATAACAATAATAATAATAACAATAATAATAATAATAGTCTGGATATATTTAAAGTAAAGGAAAATGTTATTGCTTCAGTAACTGCTTCATTATGAGTGTGTTGGGAGTGTTTTTTTAAACTGTTTTTTAAAAAACTTACCACATGTTTTATTAAGCAGGTCTGCCTGGACTTTAACTATCAGTTATAACTATCCACTTTGTCGGCTCAGGTCTACCATCATAATGTAAACACAGCAGGAGTGTTCAAACTGCAGGAGCTCCTCGCACTGGGAAACTCACTCACACTGACCTCTGAACTCCAGGCCGCGGAGCTGGAAGGTGATGAGTCCGTTTCCGATCTCCACCAGGTGGACGAGGGCGTTCAGGTAATCGGAGGCGAGAATGAAACAGTCTCCGGTGCTGTAGTTCCCCCAGCGGCCCAACAGCAGGTCACCACACAGAGAACTCTGCAGAGAACGAGTCAGGTGCTCGTAGAAGATGGAGTTCAGATTATTATCATCACAACCTGAGAGAGAGAGAGAGAGAGAGAGACAGACAGAGAGACAGAGAGAGATAGAGAGAGAGAGACAGAGAGAGATAGAGTGAGAAAGACAGAGAGAGAGAGGAAACAAAGAATAGAAGAGAGAGACAATGTCACAAACTACAGTATCAGGCATGACATTATGACCACCTCCTTGTTTCTACACTCATTGTCCATTTTACTCCAGCAGCACTGCTGTGTCTGATCCACTCATACCAGCGCAACACACACTAACACACCACCACCACGTCAGTGTTACTGCAGTGCTGAGAATGATCCACCACCCAAACAGTACCTGCTCTGTGAGGGTCTGACTGGTGAATATAAATAACAAAAAAATGTAATTTTATTTATAAAACAGTTTTCACAATGAAGTTTGCTGTACAATAATACAGCCGTCTTCCAAAATCTAATCTACCTTCCCCGTCTAGACGGTAAAAGACACACAGCGCCACCTGGTGTACTAAAGTAGTAACTTTAAAGTTTAAGCATTTGCTGCTAATATCAAATAGAGTCACAGAACGGCATCAACATCAAATATGCATCACCGAAATTAAAGACTGTAGTTGTCAATATCGAGGCAGAGTCCCACAATTTCTCATTTACTCCCTTTTAAACTTTGCAGAAGTAAACTTCCCCCACGGAGGGCGTGGCTTTCCCTCCAATGACACGATGCGTTCGTCTCTATATTGTATATTTGCATAGGTGTGCTGGTACCTGGGTTTCTGTCCAGCTGAGAGGCCAGTCTGGTGTTGGAGTGATCCACTCGCTTTGTGCTGCAACACACACACACACACACACACACACACACACACACACACACACAAGGTTAGCTAACTCAGAGATTACGGCTGAAAATGAGCTAGCTGGCTAACGCTGCATTCAACTGAAGCTCATAACGCGGACGGCTAACTCAACTACAGTATTATAGATATGGAGGCACTTACTCACAGTACTGTATGTATGAGAGAGAGAGAGAGACAAAGAGAGAGAGAGAGAGAGAGAGAGAGACAAAGAGAGAGAGAGAGAGAGAGAGAGAGAGAGAGAGAGAGAGAGAGAGAGAGAGAGAGAGAGAGAGAGAAAGACAGAGCTCTTACTTGTAGTCTCTCTCCCAGAATTTGACAGGTCGGACGTAGGAGGTGATGAAGATGGCGCTGCCCAGGAAGGGGTTCAGAGGGGTGGAGAAGATGGCAGAAACGATCGCCTGCACAAACAGCATGGCGGAGTCTGGGGGGAGGAGGGGGTTAAGGGCCACAAGCACTGTTCAGTCTGTTCAGACATCAGCAACCGCAGCCCTGTTCACACTCAACACCCAGGACTTCATCAGGACCTTTATACCGGTAACACTCGGGCTCGTTTCACCAGGATGCACATTTTCACGTCATGAACATCGCGCCAAACAGGAGGCGACGTTCTCAGCATGAACGGCCAGCAGCCCCTTCATTTCTGAACCATGAACAAAAATGCACTCCTGCAACTTTTTCTCTAAGATTTAAAACGACTGTAATAACAAAAGCGTCACAGGAGCGTTTTGCTTTAATGGCTGTGCTGCACGGAGAGGAATTCATGCCAAATTGTAAAGCAATCACTACAGATAAGAAACACTGTGACAGTACTTTTCTAAAATGACATACAGAAACAGGCCAAAATGAAAAACAGAACGTCTTTATCACTGTTCTCAGAACTGCTCGAGGTTTTACATTTTAAAACGAAATAATAGTGTAACGACTCTGAAAGGTGGGAGGAGTGAGGACACCGGGCGCAGGTGTGGAGACGGAGAGCTACACACAACACAAAAACCACTCGGCTTTTCAGCCCACAGACAAAACAAGACAACACGTTCGCCGGGTTTTTCAGTCTTTTCCTTTCTTTCTGCTCAGCTCAGCTCAGCTCTCATACCTTCACAGGTCTCCTTCTCTCTGGACTCTGCCACCTACTGCGGAATGAGATGGCTGTAAGTAGGCTGGCAGAAATGAGGCACAGGTGATCATCAGCTACTCAGCCCGCTGGTTCAGCCCGGATGACTCTCCATCCTGCATGTGACACTCGGCCACGCCCCCTTCTCCACAAACGGATTTAAGTTAGAATTGAATACAATTTGCCTTGAAACGTGATAAAGACACGGCTACACTACGTTCCACTGTGCTTCGAACAACGTTAAATCAGCGTAATGGACCTTTGTTTTTATTTTGGTACATTTTCATTTCATGGTGCATGTTAGCGTTTAAATGCAATCTCGTGTGTGAACTGCATTTCACTGTTTTTGTTGCATTTCACTGGGGCGTATTTGAAGAAGGTGAAAACAGCATAAAAGACGGTCTGCTTGTCACTTTGGGACGTATTCTGCACGTCACCCGTGGAAAAGTTGGGTCATGTGTGCATTTTGCATTTCACTGTTATTACTGCACTTCAATGAGCAAAATCCATTCAAAGTGCTGCACAGTGGAACGTAGCGTGGCTTTACTACGTTTCAAGGTGGACTGTATTCAATTCTGACATGAATTCAGAATTTAAAATAAACTGCGTAGTGACACTTTTTTTATGCAACGACATGCAAAATGGAGTCTGCGCAGCTTGAAGCGTCTGCGTTTGCATCCTTGTGTGAAGTATGACTCTGGCCGAGGTTTAATTACTGTTAAGTACAAGTGTAAAAGGGGCTACAGTGTGTATCCCCCTCTCTCGCTCTCTCTCTCTCTCAGAAGGATACGAGGCACAGCAAACGGCTGGGCGAAGGCGTGGAAGGCGGAGCCCCAGGTGATCTGCCACGGAGCGATGTAGGTGTAGACGAAACGCAGCTTATACAGCAACTCCCACAGCTAAACACACAGAAAAGATCACAACAGCTCAGACAGATCACAGTCACTCAAACTCACACAAACTGCACCTACATATCGTTGATAGCTAATGTAGCTAACAAGTAATAGAGGCTCAGCCTGGCGCTGACTGCAGGCCTGAATCATAACTTCTCTCAGACCGTGCGGAGGTGTTCAGGATCTCTAATAGACTTGATTATGCAGTTTCTGACTCTGACTATAAACATGGACTACAGTACATTAGCATAGCCAACAACAATACCAGCCTACAATTTATTCATATTTTAGTCCAGGTCTATAGACAGCAGTGTCAGAAACCACAGGGCAAGAGTGGAAAACTGTGTAAAGTACATTTTACACCAATTAAAACACATTCCTATGGGACAAATCCCAATTTTTAGCCTAAATTATCCAGCTGAGAAATCCAGAAATCCAGAGTTCCAGTGACCCCATTAATGATGAAAGGTTAATGATAATTCAGTACAGTACAGTTGAAACACTCCTTTGTGTGGTTTTATGTAATAAAACGAGGTATAATGATTTTTATGTGACCATTTTATAACTTCTCTCAGAATTAATCAGTCTCTTTTTGTTAGTGTGCTTTTAAGACATAAATGGCACCACAGTTGTGACATCACAACCATGGTGAATTCAAAACAGGCTGTTTTTGCAGCTCAGTTTACATATATGGACTGTAAATGTGTACAAACTATATTAAATTCTTTTATTCAAATATATCGTGGAAATTTTGTTTTCCATGATCGGCCCTTTAAATGAAAATGAAAATGGCAGCTTTACATTTTACACCAACTGAACTGAATTGTGTGTGTGTGTGTGTGTGTGCGCGCGCGCGTGTGTGTGTGTGTGTGTTGGACCTTGCTGAAGACGATGGACATGACGAACAGGTCGAGCAGCAGCGTCTCAGACAGCTGACGGCAGTCGAAGGTGAAGAAGAGGACGGTGAAGAGGATGGTGACGTACTGATAGGTGGGACTGCTGAAGGACGAACGCAGCAACTTCAACCCAGCTACTGTTATTACTAACGCCCCCACTCTGAGATAGAGAGAGAGAGAGAGAGAGAGAGAGAGAGAGAGAGAGAGAGAGAGAGAGAGAGAGAGAGAGAGAGAGAGGGTGTGGGGGAGAGAGGGTGGGGGATTGGGAGAGAGAGAGAAAAAGAGAGAGTGGAGGGAGAGAAAGAAAAATGAGAGAGAGAGAGAGAGAGACAGATGGAAAGAGAGAAAAAAGAAAGAGAATAGAGAGAAAGATATAAAGAGAGAGAGGGAATTAAAAATAAGAACAAGAGAAAGAGAGAGAGAGAGAGAGAAATAGAAAACAGATAGAAATGAAGAGAGAGAGGAGAGAGAGACAGATACAGAGAGAGAGAGAAACAGAAAGAAAGAGAGAAAAAAAAAGAGAGAATAGAGAGAGAGAGAGCGCGCGAGATAGAGGAAGAGATAAAGAAAGAAAGAGGGAATAAAGAGAAAGAGAGAAAAACAGAGAGAGATACAAAAAGAGAGAGAATAGACACATCAGCTGTTAATTATGGTTAATAAAAATATTAATAAAAGTGAATTTGCTCAATGAAAGTGATCTGACATTCCAGAATAATATCCCACTGCCTGTTATATATAAACAACATTTATATACTGTGAAACACACTGAAACCATCAGGAATGTTGTTTATATTGTGATATGAAGTTCTGGCCACTACTGCAAAGAAGGTGGGTGTGATAAAGTGTGAGCCCCCCTCGGCGGTGACACTGACTCTGTGTTGAGCTTCCTGGGGCTGGCGAGTTCCTGTGCGCTGCCACTGAGCTCATTCAGAACCACCAGAGGGTAGAGAACGTTCTTCTCCACAAACAGCAGCCACACGTGGAGCCGCTCGAACCACATCACATGGGCTGCACCTACACACAGACACAGGCATTCAGACAGTAGGATGTTACAGTAACATCCCCCCCAACACACAAAGCAAATGTGTCCATCAGCCAAGACGTGTTTTCAAACATGTATCAGAAGCTTACAGCCACCAGTTTACCAAACTGAACACCTACATCTCTAAATATGGGCCAAAGCACCAACACAAGTCACGCCGCTACTGAGGTTGGGAGATCAATACAGTACTGCAATACAGGGCGATTCAAAAGATTCATCTGATTTCAAAATGATTTATTTCTCTTGTAAATCATTACAGATCAATGCAGTGAACTGTAAATGGTTTAACTGAGCATAAAGTTTATTATGTAATTGTACAAGGTCTCAGTCTGAACCTCCTCCAGCTGTACAGACAACATCAACACCATAGTCAAACTCATCCCATCCTATTGAAGTGGAGAACGCAGAACGCTTTCTGCTCAGGGGTCTCATCTCCTCTCAGACTGAAGGGAGCCATCTTCCACTGACAGTCAGAAACTCTATGACCCCCTTTTTCAATTGGATTGTGATTGGTTCCTCGGTGCCTCACGGTTGCAAAAATATAGCGCTTTGAAATCGGATGAATCTTTTTGAATCACCCTGTGTTTTTAGTTAAAATGATACTGAAGTTAAGCAGGATCGGACTAGAGGGTTGATTTCAACAGTTCATGACATTTTGCAGAACAGTATTAAACCCTCGTCAGACACTCTGACAGAAATTTGGGAAAAGGACTTAAACCAGCCGATCTCAGAAGAGGACCGGCTCAGTATTTGTAAAAACCTGCTTCCCAGATGTGCCTCATCTGGTGTTCATGGGCTTTAAATTCATGAGTAGGATATACTTCACACCTGTTCACCTACAAAACATGTTTCCCGACATCTAATTAGTGGTTTAAATGTAAAACTGAAAAAACTTTTTCATGCCTTTTAGCAGTGTGAAAAAAATGCCATTTTCTGGTAATAAATATCTTTCAAACAGGATTTCAGAAGCCTCTACCAAGCTTCACTTCTGCTTCCCTTGGAAAAATTGACCCACGACCTACATCACCAAACAGACAAATTCTGGAAACTTTGGACCCCCCTGTGGACTTACGTAGAAAAAAAAAATATCTTAAAATCCTTTGTATGTTGGTCAGTTGTGTGATATTTAAATGTATGATTGTCAGTACTGAACAGTGTAAAAAAAAGAAATACTGAACTAGCCAGGCTCAATTATCAGTATTTTATTATACATTTTTTGTGTTTTTTAATACTCAAAAATAAACATTTTAAATATAAAATACATTTATTTAATGTATTTTTAACATGTATTAAGCCCATTGTTGGCCTAATAGATTAACTAAATGCACTTCCGTCTTAATCCACAAGATGTCACTGTTTCTATTCTACCAGTCAGGCAGGAATGAGAAATGCTGCTATATTAGACCAATAAGAGCCACTGAGCTCTTAGATTCATTGCCATTTTAATCGCTATAGTAAAGGATAAAGCAGGTTTGAATGTTTGAACTGCTTTTAGCTTTATGCTAACATACTTTAGTCCATGTTTATAGATTTCAGTGAGTCATACAGAGTCAGAAACCACAGAATCAGGTCTATCAGAGATGCTGAACAGCTCCACACACTCTGAGGAAAGTCTGTGAGGATTTAGGTGGGCAGTTCGTTAAACCGGTGGCTTTCAGCTTCCATTACTTGTTAGCTCCAGTGTTTAAACTAAAGAAGCAAACGTCAGACACCGAACACGTCTCGGGAAACGTTTGGGTAAATGTGATAAATGTGATGTTTTGGCTGAACTCTCACTGAGTGATGTGTGATGGAGGGGTGCAGTGCTGGACTCACCGCGGACCTCGAACTGGTAATACTCTTTGGTTTTGAGCAGCGGGTGAGAGAAACAGTACCAGGGCAGCTGCTTCCTCATCTGGGGCAAAAGATAATGAGTAAACAAGCCCACCGCCCCCACCAACCCGTACAGGACGTAACTCAGGAACGGCTAACAGGAGAGAGAGAGAGAGAGAGAGAGAACAATAATGAGAGATAGAGATCACCTTCATATCATTTTAGCAAAAATAAATAAATAAATCTTAGTGCATAGAGACACAAGGGCTTTATTATGATACACAGACACTTACAGGAACTCGTATAGGTATAAAAACAAACGTGTGTGTGTTTGTGTGTTTACCTGCAGGGCGAGGAAGACGGTACTGACGTGAATGGCGAAGTAGAGCACAGCGATCAGCACACATACAATCAGATCAGACTGCAGCCTCTCATTCTGCAGAGAGAGAGAGAGAGAGAGAGAGAGAGAGAGAGAGAGAGAGAGAGAGAGAGAGAAGAGAAGAGAAAACCTCAGTGTAAAAATAATGATATTCAGTGTAAATCTGAGTGAGTGTGTGTGTGTGTGAGAGAGTGTGTGTGTGTGTGTGTGAGAGTGTGTGTGTGTGTGTGTGTGTGTGTGTGTGTGAGAGTGTGTGTGTGTGTGAGAGTGTGTGTGTGTGTGTGTGTGTGTGTGTGAGAGTGTGTGTGTGTGAGAGAGAGAAGAGAATCAGACTTTGTGTGTGTTTTTTCTCACCACGGAGCTCCGGAGTTTCTCAGGTAGAGGGTCCTGAACCTCAGCTAACGGGTCCTCAGGGTTCTGCTCCTTCACGTTCGGGAACACTTTAGACTGCACCAGAGAGCTACACACACACACACACACACACACACACACACACACAGACACACACACAGACACACAGACACACACAGACACACACAGACACACACACACACACACACAGACACGCACACACACACACACACACACACAGACACACACAGGAAAAGAGAATTATTTTACAAACTCTGTTAGTAACTTACACAGAACTGAACGTCAAGAGGGAAACAATGCGCATTAAGTTTAGATACTCAGTTTATATCATAATGCCTACATCTACAGTTTACAGTTTCTCATTAGGCTGAATGAATAACTGACTCTAAATGTAGGTATTGTGATATAAACTGAGTCTGTCCTACAGTTTCTCATTAGGCTGAATGAATAACCGACTCTAAATGTAGGTATTGTGATATAAACTGAGTCTGTTCTACAGTTTCTCATTAGGTTTAATAGGATTTTAACCAGTGTTCTGTACAGCTTGTCGAACTTCACAACAGTAGCTATGAAAGAACATATTTGTGGGTGGAGCCTGGTGAGGATAACTGACACACTCACATGAGGACGGAGGGGTCACTGCTCTGACGGCTCAGGTGGTACGAAACGGCCACCAGCAGCCCGCAGAACACGGAGAAGAGAACAGGAATGTGCTGCGGATCCCACGACTCCTGAAACACGAGCACACAGAAAATCAGTGCGGTGCATGGTTACCATAGCAACGCTAGCTCTAATTCAGTTCTGCACAGGTTGGTTTGGTTCTCCAAAATAACTTTTTCGGCTCCTGCTGTGCCTTCCTTTCAAAACTAAAGCCCAGAAATCAGAAAAACGCCAGTCATTTGAGTGTGGGCGTGTCTATGATATAAGTCCCGCCCACTTTG